AAGCAGAAACTTATGCTCATTAGTGCAATCAATGGATTATGACTCTGGCTATAGGTTGTACTGTGTAATTTACCAGCCATCAGTTGTTGAATTGCTAAGAGACTTGATACTCAAACTGATCAAGTCAAATGATCTACGTCCCCTTTGCTTCCTCAGCAGTTTCCTATCATCATTCCAAATTTTTTTTCTTTCAGGATTCATTGTGAATACCTTGGACTCATTTTGAGTGAAAGAGTCTGCTCCATCGTTGCCGTCAGCAATGAAGCAAGCAGCAAAACAGGCAAACAGTAAAAGCTGTGAATATCAAACGGGTTAAAGAGAGCAACTCAATCTCTGAATCCATTTTGCCACTGAAATTTCAGTAACTTTAGTAACAGAATCAGAGAATCACAGAATGGTTGGAAGGGACCTCAAAGATCATCTAGTTCCAACCCCCCTGCCATGGGCAAGGACACCCTCCACTACACCAGGTTGCTCAAAGCCCCATCCAACCTGGCCTTGAACACCTCCAGGGATGGGGCATCTACAACTTCTCTGGGCAACCTGTTCCAGTGTTTCACCACCCTCAGAGTGAAGAATTTCTTCCTTAGATCTAATCTAAACATGACACAAAAGCATTAACTTGTCTACCCGTTCCCTGCTCTCCTAAGAGCTGTGAACCAGCGTTTGGCACAGGTTTATTGCTTTCTGCCAGTTCAGGTTAGGAACTGCTCTTCAGCTGGTTTTTGCAGTAAAACGGCTGGTGCCTGAAAACACTGAGTAGAATATAGTAGCTATTGCTAAAAAATCATCATCATCACCCTGTCTACTTGATGTCCTCCACACTAAGGAAAATTTTCCACCGTTATTTGGTTACAGCTTCCTCGTATCAGTAATTGTGGGAGCAAACTGCCTCCGCATCTCAAATCTCATATGGAAAGCAGCATAGTCCACCACGTTGATTATATGAGTTCTGTTCTTCAGAGACCAGGATGGCACAAGGTTCCTTCAATTTAAACATGATGAAACTGGACACATTCGAGACTCTCAGTCTTCTACGCCAAGGCTACCGTTCATGTGACACATTAGTACCACATCCAGGAAAATTGATTTGCACAGTGTTATGCTGCCTTTAGTTTAACATACTGGGCTGAGTTAATTTCATGTGTTTGTTGTGACCTTGTATCAACTGTGAACAGGCTAAAAAAGGAGAAAATTGTTACCTTAAAATTCTGCATTTCTGAAATTACGAAGAAATCCAGTCCTCTCTCTCTCTCCCATATAAGACTGTGGTGTGCCAAGACAGAGTGAGAATTCTGCCTTAATGAGTCTTTAAGGAAAGGTCAGGGACTTGGATGAAACAAATCTGAGAGCTAAAGAAAAATCCGAAAGCCAGACCGAACAATATCAACTACAAAAATGAAACCAGAGATCCACTGCTGCCTAACGTGTCTGTGGACTCCATATGGATAATCGATGTGGCACCCATTACCCCCACTGCGGGTTGGAACTAGATTATCTTTAAGGTCTTCTCCAACCCAAACCATTCTATGATTCTACTAAACCAAAATTTCCATTGTCTAATAAAAAAGATTACAGACTGCATGTGATACAGATAAAAAGTTCAATGTCAAGCAGCACCTGCAACAAACACACAAGTCTATCACACATTAATTCTCAGTTCAAGAACACGCTGCGTTCCAAAGGTCTGTAAAATCTTTAATAAAACTCTTCTTCCTGCTCAGAAACTTGATCCTTATTGACTTCTACTCTGAGCATCTTCCTATAGCTCTCACCAGCTAATTTTAATTGAAATTTCAAGAGCATTAAATTCTCCCCAGAATGAATCAGTAAGTCGTAATTTCATAATGAGGACTTGGACAGTAGCACTACGTGGCACAAACAAGGGCAAGCCGGACACTCAAGTTAGTTAAAGAATACTCCAGAATAAACTGGTGTAGCAGAACACTAACATCTGCTGCCTCTGACCAGGCCTGATGCTGCATTAACACGGCAGCTCTTCTGGAACTAGACCACTGCTATTAACGCGGTGTCGCACTCCACGAGAGAGAAAGCCCAGGCGCTGGTGTCTAAAACCCAGACATCTGGCTATCTGACCATACACGGCACGCAGCTTAAATACATCTTATGACGTTGCATAGAAAGTTTAACAGCTTTCTACAAGTCAGCACATAAACCTCAGCTGCACATGCAGTCTCTCCTACCCCATGCTAAAGAAATTATTTATTACACTCACATACTCAACCATTATCTCAGTGCCGTGCAACCCCGAAAGCCAGATTGTTACTGTGCAGACTGGCTGAAACATCTGAGAGAAATGAAATAAACTCTGATACAAAAAGCACATGAAAACACTGTTGCGTCCAGAAATGCTTTTCTAACCTTGCATGGTGAGAGGTGGTAGGGCTACACGGATTACAGGTGAAGCTACCCCTGCTCCATTAATGCCCTGGGACAGCAGCCAAAACCTGACCCTATACTGGAGTATATCTCTGCCCTCTGTGCTTCACCTCAGAGAATGCCAAATACACAGATTCTGTGCCACCTAACAGATGATCTTCTGCTTAGGTGAACTAGAGGCCTGTTTAGCTTGTGACAGAAATGACAATAATCAGGGCTTATTTACATTTTTTAACACATATTGCCAGATTGCCATACTTGCACTTTATTATCCCAGGGCATCACTTGTTCTTCATGTTTATTTGGACTAAATAGCAGTATCCACAGTTTCTGGAAACTTGTGAATGGCTGGAGCTTGTTATTCAAACATTCTTTTAATTCCAGTTCCATGTATGCCCTGTTCTTGGCAGTTATTTTTTCTTAATTAAATTTGCTTTTCTGCTCAGAGTTGATTTATATGATTTCAGGCTTGAAATAGATCCAAAACTGGGCTGGCAAGAAGAGGACAATCTGTGACGTGGGACAATTAATAAGATTTTTGTTGATATTTAGTAAATTAAGTGTGAATCTAAACTCTTGATCAAAAATTATACTAAAACCTGAGCAAAACACAAGCATGAATCTCGAACCACTAGCTAAACACTCAACACCAGACCTCCTCTAGACATTGTGCTCCTGCCTTCCTGCTATTTCTTTCTGGGCTCTTCCTTCCCTTCCATTCTTTGTACTTTTTTATTCTGAATCACGGTACTTGTAACAGCAGCTTGAGCTAAAACTCTTTTCTTCCACTCTCACATCGAAGCACAGCTAGAAGATGCAATAAGCAAAAGATAACCTTAACAGGTATCTTTGTAAAGAATAAACAGTTGCTAAATCATCATCTTACTCACCTCCAGTAGAAGCAAACCTTTACTGTTAAAATACTTTTTATTTTGTGATATCAATATTTCTTCAATTTATCTGCAAATAATGTTGAAGGTCAACCTGGGTACCCTCCCTCTTCTTCCTTCAGGTTAGCAAGATGTTAAACATGGACCCATCAACCTTTGACTTTCTCCCACTCACAGATAACCTACTCTATCAAACAGAGGTTTTTTCTAGAAGAGCCTTGGTCTTCCTCTGTGCTTCCTCAGGAGCAGTATCAAGTTGCTGTGAAAAGCAATGAAACAAAAAGTCTATCAGTACCCACGCCAACACGCACTCTAGTTAGTGTTAAGACTGGACCCATTTTGTTTGCTGTCTACTATTATTCTAGTGAAAAGTATTTCTTGGCGCAGTAGTAGTTCCAATGGCAAATATTTCAAACTTCTCACAGAAAACAATCGCTAATTATTTCTGTAGAAAACAGTTTGACACCGACAACTCGCATTCATTAAATAAATTGTTCATGCTGAACATCGAAGTGTTTATAGAATTACTTAGGCTTAGAACAAACTGAACATGTCTTTCCACTGATTCAACCACTCAGCAAGGAATCATTTGAACCTCTTTGTCTTGCCCATATCCATATAAATGGCAACAAGGCCAGTATCTCCGGTCCACAACACTATCCACGGTAATATTTTATTTAATGAATACAAACCTATGCAGGTGTCTGAAACACAAAGGGATGAGTGAAGGAAATCAATTCTTCACCTTTTAGGAACCTTTATATTTGGATAAGACATTTGCCTTTAGAAAGAACTGACAGGTTGTAAAAAACCCGAGATGCTGACCTGCAGTGCTGTCTAGCTTCATGCCAATGAGGCGTCATCTTCCAACTCTACCTCGTAAGTTGGAGAAACACAGAAAATACATTTGGAAAGCAGAAGACTTGGACTTGCAGAATTCCACTCACTGTCAGTAAGAAACTATTACCTTATACACAATTCTATACAGAGATTTCAGGGAGAAAGGTTCAAGGCAAATAAAATATTTTTTTTAACATTTTATTGATGAACAGCAGAAAATGCAGGTTTTGTTTACCATACTGCTGGATATAGTATCAATTTGTACACGTGTAAATAACTTTTGCACGTTTTCAACATAATAGACGTTGTTCTGAAAATAACTCAGGCATATGGTGCCACAGTCATAGACATCACTCTGAGAAAGATCGAGGATATAGAGCAGTGTGGTGGGGGCAGCAGAGGGATCTAGGGACTGTTAATTCAGCTACAGCCACAGAGGAAATTGTCAGTGGCTATTTTGTGCTGAGCCATCTGTTGCCTTGACTACACTGCCAGGAACAGTTTAAAGATTGCTGGAGTGTGTCTATATAAGCTACACAAAACGATGACTTCTGTGCTCTTCGAAAAGAACAGGATCCAGCTTACATTATATAGTAATGCCCTTTTAATAAGTCTTTCTTCCCAGGAATGAGCTTTGTCACTAGGGAACACACAATGCCCTTTGTCTTGTACACCCAGGGGCTCACTAAACTTTGTTCCATATCCTGTAGCATTTTCTTCAAATGTTACTGCATAAATATTGTTGTTCATATTCTTTATTAGTCATCTATGTTATCAGTGCCTTTCTTTAGAGTAGGTGGTGCTCTAAAATAGGATATATAGGTATATACAATCAGTTTTGGTTAAGCAGTGGTCTTGTAACGGAATGTATTACAGATCTGTAGATGAAGATTTGAAATGATGCTCCACAGACTGCTTTCCATCTTCTAGAACTTTGGAAATGCGCTGCAAAAAAGGAGGAACAGAGTGCCATATGTTAAAATGACTACTGGATTGGATTCAGTACTATGTATATTAATTACTAGCTTGTGGCCTTAAACTGTGGTTGGAGAAAAAAGACATTGACCAAATCCTGGATATTATGAATTAATTTCTCTACCCTGCAAAACCATAAACCTGTATTTAAACCTGTCCATACGATTCCAGTCATGCTGTGAAGCACTATACAAGTCAATTTTTAGTTTTATTCGGTCCTCTTTCAGACTTACAAAAAAGGATATTTTGTCCTCCTCATTTTATATGCTATTTAGGCTTATATATGAGTGGATGAGATCATGGTGAAAAGCTGTAACTCCTGGGTCTGAAAAGAACAAGTATGTGTAAATTGAATATAGGTGAAATCCTACAGACTTCAAATTAATCAGTTATTCTTTTCCTGCCAGAAAAATATGATTATGAACACATCTACATGCCATTTCCCTAAATCTTGCTCTGTGGTCCCTGATGGCACTACCTATATTTTTTAAAAGACTGCAGAAACCAATGGATGAAAATAAAACCTAGTCACCAGGAAAATTTTTCAAAAATTTTCTAAAAAAATAAATAATCAAACTTCGCTTTGAAAGATCACTAAAGAGCTGACATGTAAAATATTACGAGTGTCAGGGAACACTTATGCAGCATGCGTATCAGTAGCTACCAGCTTCTGCATTAAATGTCACCCTCCCACTACCTGAAAAAATAGGAAAACTTTACAACTTTTGAATTTTAATGTCTGCACTGAATGTACTTTTTTTTTTTTTTTTGCTTTCAAACACTACATTAAATTCAATCTTGTGAAATTTCTACAGAAATCAGTGAAAGGTTTCCTCCTTTAAAGGAAGACGACCTGTTTTAAGCAACATTAATGACTCCAGCATAAGCCAATTTCTACTTTCAAATAAGCATCTCTGACCTCAGAAATTGACTCACCCTGGGCATGTTCTGCCATATGTTATGCCTACCTCACTGTGATGCTAGTGCCAACTGCCCAACGTAATTAAATAGAACACGAATTATTTGCTGTCCTCTTTTGCTAACAAATGTTATATAAAGCAAATGAGAGAGAAGCAGTAGGTCAGATGAGACCTCTCGTGGTGCAGATGCAGAACTGCACATCCTTGTAAAAGTCTTAAAACACACACCAAGATGTACATCCACACTCCAGAAAGCACAGCCAGACGCAAATTTTTGCTTCCCCAATGAGATTCTACTCCTCTCTCTGATGAGAGAAGGAAAAAAAAAAAAAAAAAAAAGAGTTTGACTTATGCTCTCACAGTATTTTAAATTGACTCAATTTTCAGAGCATAGAATTTTTGAGGAGGTAACACTTTCTTTTTTCCCCATAAACACACAGAACTTACCATTGTTTTAAATAACTGGTTAACTTTCTTTTTTTTGAAGGTTTTCTTGTCACCATCTGAGGTGGAAGGAAACACTGGATGACTCAACCTATGTGATGCAATTGTTTCATCAGGTGCCATGGATGGGCTGACGGACAGAGTTAATCCTTAGAATGAAACATATGGGTTGCACAAAACAAAACCGAAAAAGGAGAGTCAGAATGTAAGATAGCGCAGAATTCAAGATAATAAACTCCTGCAATTACTACAAAGAAATGAGACATTTTTAATCTAACTATATCCTCATAATACAAAAATAAGTAATGGTGAAGCACTGAGCTTCATTACAGCGAAACTGAACAGTGAACAAAATGAACTAATCTGGACAAAGAAGAAAAAAAATAGATAATGCATGAAAAAGAAGTGGGCCGTGACAGTCTGTTGGGTTGTGCTGAAGGTCTGTTACAGGTGTCTGGAAAGACAGGAACAATGAGAGGGACAGAGGAAGTGCAGGCTAGGAAACAGGCTGTGCTATGGAAGAAGCGGGGGGTGAAGGGTATTGATACAGGGCACATTCTCTCTATGCCCCTGGCCTAGAAATGAGTTCCACCTTCAGTTACACTTTCCCCTTCTCTACCATGCAACTGTCATTCTAGTGGGAAGTTATGTTATCCTGTTTCCCCCTCCTCGTGCTGCGAAGGAGGCTTACGAGATTCCCCTCTACCGCCAAAAGCAGAAGTTAAAACCCTACTACGAGGCGAACTTCGGGGAAATTCATCTGCCAAAGCAAAGGACAGAGCGTTTCTTCCTGTTTCAAACACTGCCCTCAGCTGCAGCGAGACCCTACAAGCAGAGATGATGAATAAACTTTGCCTCTTTCAAGGCAGGGGGAATGCCCACACTATTCAAGGAAATAAAATCTGGAGTTCCTGAAGTAGCACTGTTAGAATTTCCATGTTAGCATGAGGCAGCACAGTGTTACCAAGCAGTAGTAGCAGTCCAGCTCACTTGCACCCTACACACGTAAATTGTAATCTTTATATCAAAGGCACGGAGCTCCCTGCTGTGCTTGGAGCAAATCCCTTATTGCAATGTTTTCTTAACATAGCAAAAACGAAGTGCAGAACTCTTGTGTTACTGTAAGGAGCTTACCTGGGATAGTTGGCATAGAACGACTGACAGAACTCATCTGCTTGAGGACAGACGTTTTCTGAGGTGCCACCACATGCTCTGACAGGTTGGTGTCACTCATGAACTCGTATTTCCTTGACAGCTGTTTAATAAAGAAAAAAGCTGTTAATGATGAACTGAGATATGAGCAACAAAGATCTAAGCAAAATAATATTTTGTGAAAAGCATGAAAGAAAGTAATTAATAAACAAACTGTCATGCCTAATCCGAATTCTTTACGGAATTGTTTGCTGAATAAACAATAAGAGTAACTAGAAGCAGTAGAATTCGGTCCACATATAATATTATACACTATCTAAAAACATGTAACCGTTTTGCAGATGATTTGTAGTTAGATAAATACTTCTCATTCCACATTGAAAAAAAATTACTCTAAAAACCCAGCTAGAAGAGATTCTGTAATCTGGAAGTCTAGGATGGTATTCCTACCGTATCTTGGGAATAACACCATCAGCCAGCTCTGACTGTAATCTGCAACGTAAAAATGTTTTGAAAACTTTTCCTGTTGCATTAACACAGCCAGCTCAGCTGCTGTGATGCTTGTCACTACTCTTCTGAAACAAAAGAAAATCCTGTAACCCAACTTGCAGTGGGATTCCCACAGCTAGGTGTATGTGTTGTCCAGTTTAATCAAAAGACAATGATGCTGCTTGGTTTGTATATTAATGCTTCCCAGAGCATGACTGTACTTTGCATCTCTTTTGTATAAGGACATGTAGTGTAAGACAACAATAATCCTCCATAAGTTTCTCCTTGTTTCCCAAGAGAATCTGAGCTTTCTATTGAATTCACTTTGCCTTTGATGATTCCTCCAAAAATTTTTGATGAAATAACTTATGGTCTCTCCATGTAATTCAACAATCTGTTATTGCCTGACATTTTAATTTAGACAGGGCTTGTGTATCAAGAGGACATCTTGCCAATTTTATTATTTCTTTTTATACTAAAAGAAGAAAAGTCTCCTGAGAATTAAACTACAAAAAAAAAAAGGCACAATGTAAGTTATATAAGTCATTCTAATGATGTAGCAGAGCAATAAAAGCACTCAGATGATTTATGGAGCGAGAGATGCCAGCGCTTCCAAACTTCAGGCTGGCACCATTTAAGGAACACTGTTTGCAATCTTGCAATTTCCTACAGCTGCACGTTCCATACCAAGGTACAAATCATACAGGTCTCATCACTTCTGAAACAGCACTGACTGCAAGGAGCTGCCTCAAAATGTCAGCACAGTCAATTGCCTCTCCACAGGAAAGCCTCCCAATACAGTACTCCATTTCAAGCTAACCAAGCTTCAGAATTTGCAACTTCAGGGCTGGATTATCTGTCATCATAACCAAGTAGGGATGTTCTGATTTTTCCATTGATTTGTTTCCTCCTCAGCATCTTGCAGGTCTCATTCGTGGCAGGGCAAATCGTCTCTGCATCCTGCACATTTCCCTTTATGAGAGCTAAAGTTCTACGTGATATATTTTTCTTTTCCTAAGCAAAGGAGTAACGTCCTCTTTTTTATGGGTTATAAAATACTACTCTAAATCAGTAACATACACATTTCATTTCAGAGATCGAAATATCAGGTGTCGTCTTCTCATCAGCAAACACCACACTGCTTCTTTTTGTTCTTTTTTTGGACCTTCTCATCTTTACTTCAGGGTGAGGATTAATTTGCAGAGCAGCCTCCTCTGATTCTGCTTTTACTGGCTTTGGTAGCACTACTTCCAGATCAAAGCTGCAGGAGCAAAAGAAGAAAGTACAAGTTGCTGAGTGAGATTTTAAAGGCCACTGGTATTCTGATGCCATTTCCCTGTGAAATATAAATGCAGATCATCCTTTCCTTCAACATTCTATGCAGCCTTGCAAACTGTTGGCAAAAAGTATATAACGTGCTTCAGCTGGCAACAAAAAAGATGCCTTTAGGAGGTATGATATCATCTTAAAATTTTGCATAGAATGTAAAATATTAATGAGTGCAAATTTCTTTTTAAAGATTTTTGCATTAGCTTAAGAACTCCTAAACTAGACAGAGTTAGAGATCATATGGCAAGTTTATGCACGATGATGGTGCTGATAGCAAGACATGTTATTTTAGTTGTTGAACACAGTGCAACAGAGTACTACTATTTATTCTCATGTTTTAAATACATCCTCCTATTCATTTCACCATATTGGACAACAATGTACATACCTAGTGACAAAGAAAAAAAAATCTCCTTCCTTTTCCTCTAATTTTCATAAAAATTGGACTATTTTTCATTTTAAAAAAACCACCCCAAATATGAAATTGGTGCTGGCTTTACTCCCTTCTCTGCAGATGTAATTAGCCTATTGAACATGGAGCTGAACTTATTTTACAAAAAAAAACTTTTAAAGCAAGTAGCATGGTGAATTTATTGACTTATGCTTCCTAGAAACAAATTAGTATCACAAGAATTAAAAGCAGGTGCATGATTCAGCTGCTTAAGTACAGTTGTCTGGTTCCACGGGAGACACGGGGCTGGCAGATACACCACAGTTCAGGTTTGTGTGCCAGGCCCTTCCTGCGCGGAACCTGCGGGGCAGGGGGAGCAGCTTTGGGCATCTCGGAACGTGTGATACCACACATCTTCGTTAGACAGCTCGAAAATTTAACTAAGTGATGTTAAACAATGAACTGGCAGTCAAACATGGAAGAATAGAGGGGTACCTTAAGAAGAAACACTTCCAAGTTAGGGCCATACATTTTTGGACTTTTTGCTGTTTAAAAGTTTTTACTACTATATATATCTTTTTTTTTACTACTCAAAAAGGAAGATCGGATGTTTAAAAAAAAAAAAAAATCACAATCAGCAGCTCAGCAAGATCAATTTTGTATGTGCCTTGTTCAGGAAAGAGTTCTATATGCCCAAAGGATAATTTATGAAGTGATCAAAACAATTTGTGGATGAAAAAGCGAATCAATATACCTATAACTGTTCTCTCAGACTTGGAAGTCTTTATGTTTCCCAGTGCTGCAGCTAAGAAAGCGTATTAAGCAAAGCATTTTACATTACTACAGGCTTTACTAAAACATTCCACCTCCTTACTTCTAAGTTTGTAACAGCTTTCCTCTTCCTCCAATTTTTACAAGCAAAAAGATGCAAATTAAGTTAAAAGCTGCATAAAGAGAAACTTGCAAAAACCCCAAATCTTTGTATTTTTTAAAATGTCACTTAAATTATAAAATATTTTTTTCCTGAAAATGAAATGCCACTTTTTTTCAGTGAGGCTTGAGTATATTTTGTCTATTAAGGTTGAAATACCGTAGCTTTAAGCCTGCAGGAAGTGATAGCTACAGTTACAATTAATTTTGGCATAGTCTGAAAAGACTGCTAGTTGTCTTTACCCTTGACTGCCTTTTTTTTTTTTTTTTTTCAGTTTTTTAGTTTCATCCCATAAAACTGTTCAAAAACCAGGAGTGAAAGAAAAATTGTATTGTGTTCATAACCAACCTTTCTGAAGCAATTTTGATTGGAGTACTGCAGTCTGAATTCATGGAACTCAGGGAAATAATTGATAACTGACGATAGGATCTCAGCATTGATCTTGGCCGTCCTACTCTCTTGTCATCAAATTCTGGCTACAGGATGGAAAAGAGAAACATTTTCTATCAAACAACTTTCTGTGAACCTCATTTCATCCCTTTTCACTAGGTCTTGAAGATAGCACAGATGTTTGAACACTTGGTGTTCAAAGTTATTTGCTACCATCAATTCCTGTGATTGTTTCTTCTATCTGGATATGGTCTCAGACCTCTCAAACTCAACTATACAGTGAGTAGCTAAATAAACTACAATTTACACAATTATGTTTGAAAAAGGAATTAAAATAAACAGTGTCTGCTGATCTTATTTTCAACAGGCCCGGGGTATGCCATTAAAGTACTTGCTTTGGCAAATACATTTAGTTAGTCCTTGCTCCAAAACACTAATCCTGCTTCCTCTTCGATACCCCAGGTTCTCATCTTTTTTGATTATGTGTTTGCAAATGTTGGGCAGAATTAATATTTCCCTAAGAGCCAGAGAGGAAGAACAGAAGGATTCTCCAGGTCATACTGCATGCATATTGTACAAAGCCACATCTGCTGCACCATCTCTCTCTGCAAAGCATGAAGCTGGTATGTTCTGCAGTGGAAGGAGAAAAAGGAGATTTCCCTCCAAATCTTCTTGAAAAGATTTAGCTATCACAGTGGAAACATTCGTCTTAAAGCTGATGGTTATTGAGGCTTTGCAGGCTGGGACAAAGTTAACTGAAACAACCTGACGTTTTCCTGGTACTCTTGTTAATAAGGTAGGGACAAGAATGACATTTCTTGGCTAATTCTCCAACTGTTTTCTTTCTTCAGGGGTGGCTTCTGGGATCTAAATTGTGGAGTGCAGTCAGCTCTTCTCTCATTTTCTGTTCGAGTTATTTCCTGGGATGAGCATGTCTGCCCCTAGTTACCTCATCACAGTGTCATGATATAGGGCAGGTTTTTGAGAATTTCCCAGTGTGTGCGTACCATAAACTACTTTTCCAGCCTACTTCAATTTCTATCCTATAAATGGGATACGAACAGCTTTTAAAAAACACTTCATATTAAAGCACAGGGGTTTGTTCTGATTATCCAGAAAATATTAAAAATGTATGCATAATTTCATATGCCAAATTCCAAAATACTTTCCTTCTGATGCCATTTCTCACCAAGACTCTGATATCTAGCAGAAGACTTGGAAACATTTGTCATTTCAGTAATTATTTTCAAGTGCTTGAAGAGTTTACATGCAATGAGTTTACATGCTGCTCATCCTTCGAATGGCCAGAATCTTGCAAGGAAGCTGCCTAACTTTTTTTATTCGGTCCTTTTAATAAAAATGCTCAGGCAGGCCACCAGAGAGAATGAGACATGGTGAAATGGCAGTAATGCAATTCAAAAAGTACATTCTCTATTCTTGCAAAATTTTAAATAGGTTGCTTTTTTTAAAAAAACCCAAAACTGATCTGTAAGAGTGCTGAAGTGTCCAAGCATTAGGCAAGATAGCTAATTTGCGGTTTACAGCCTCTTTATTATTGCTAAGATGGTGGCGTGGAACTGAAAATAAGCAAAACATACTGAGATAAATATGTAGAATTTTCATCATATAGGTGTGTAACACAGCACAATATCAAAAATTTAGGTTAGAAACTTGCTACTTTTTCCCTGTAACAGAAGAAATAACTCTTCTAATAAAATCATCAGCACTGAAAACAACAACATAAAATAATTTCTGAAGCAACTGGTGTTTAATCCCCAAACCAGCCAACATCTTTCTTGCTAGTCTGCACAAGCTCAAATAGAATTGTCTGGAGAGTTTGTGTTAGAAGCTATCCTTCAATTCCCACACAGTTCAGTTTGGTCTCAACTAGTATTTATAGCATTATACACATGATAGATTTTACTTCACAACACAGCTGGAAGTGGCTAGTGCAGGAAGACATCAATTGCAGATCAAAGCCCTGAACTACTAAGAAAAATTACAAAGATGACAACCATGAGAATTTGCTTTTACTTCCCTAATAAGGCAGAAAAGAATTTCAGTTTTAATAGACATAATAAAATACTCCTAATCTTCCAGAATGAGGAATATTTAATAGGTCAGAGAACTGAATCAACTCTTCGACTATAAAACTCAGGTCTTACTACCTTCAGATCACAAGAAAACCCACAAGCAACAGAAGTTTAATATGTGTTTTTGCTTAGAAGAACAAGAGGTGTCTTGAGTAAAAAGAAAGTGCAGGAGAGGTTAAAAGGAGAGCCATACCAGTTCTCTGGCTCCATATTGTTTTTCCACTTTGACTTTCAAGTGCTTGAAACATTCCTCCATACGGTCATGGAAAGGACGAAGATTATCAGAAACTCTTCTTTCATGAATTTTAATTCCAGCCCCAAGGAAAGGTATCTTGAAGAGGGGGGGAAAAAAAAGTGAGAATATTAAACTGGGCCTGACAACTCCTCTGACCTCATTTGAAGTATCTGCTAAGCCAACTGCAAAACTCTGATTGGCAGATTTGTCAGTTGATCTCAGCTTTCAGCAGCAACTACAAGACAGAAAGGGCTCTTGACAGATGAGCTTGCCCAGTAAAGTTTTGGAGAGTGTTGGCTGCCTCATAATGACTATTTTCTCTCCCACATGTTTTGATGTTAATCCCTTACGAGATTAACCAGACCATGTGAGAGTTAAAAAAAAATTCTTAAGACTACTAGACCACCTGCTTATGAAGGTGAGGATGAAAAAATACCCAAGTGGATTCCAGGCAGATGGTTTCACACTCTTCTCTTTCAAACGAAGGACTAAGTGACTGGAAAAGGTTTAAGTCAATCTACTAGGGGCGTAATCATGTGATCACTTTGACAATTGCTGCAGCAGTTTAATATGTTAATGCCTGGTTAATGAAGGTGACTTCTTCCTTTCTCCTCGATTTTACTCTGCAGGCTTCCTCTGTACTCTCCACATCTCAAGAAAAAATAAGTAAGATAATGCTTCATTACCAAAATGAAGAACTCAAGCCATGAACAGAGGGAGCTTGCACTAACCAGTGTGACTTTGCTCAATTTTACCTCTTTTCTTTTTTGCTGCTCCTCTTTTAGACTGGGGTCAGTGACAAGTAACCAAAGGAGTTAAGAACTCGAATTCTTCCTACTAGAGTTGGAAGAAGGTACATAACAATAATTTTTAAAAACTAGGGAGTGGAGAGGGAAAGCGTGGATAGTACTCCCTTAAAGGAGAACATCTGATTAAAAGGTTAGGAAAAGGTCTATCAATTCATTAAATCCCTTTCTCCACTTCAATTTCTTAAAAAAAACCCAAAACAAACAAAAAAAAAACTTTCTCCTTTGTCAGAAGGAATGGCTTGCTTTCCAAATAAAACAAAATAAAACAAACCTTATAATAAAGCAAATACAATAGTAATAATACCTTTCTGACCCCTCTCCCTACAGCGCTCTCCTTTGCGAGTATGTCGCTACTATCGTCTCTGCTGTTATATTAGCGTAATAACACCCAGTTAAAAGCAAACAAAACAAATCTTATCTTCAAAGATAATGGACAGCACACTGTGACATGCGTTTATTTAACAATAAACGTATTCACACAGAGAAACTTTGCAGTGATTCTTTTCAAAACACAAAGACATTTCATTACTCTTCGGTTTCTGAAGATAGTGATTTACGAGGTTTTGCAACATACTTTTAGCTCCTCTTCTGCCAGTAACCTTTTCCAATTGCTTTACCATTGACTTGGAGCTATTTTGCATCATTGTTTGAGGCTTTCTTGTAAAATCCACCTAGGTTCCACGCTCCCCTTTTGTGTTCTGACCCTACAAATATTATTAATTTTGTATTTATCAGCCCCCCACATTAGCCTTGTATTTTACACAAGTTCTATTTCAATATCACTTTCAAAAGCATGGTATTAAAGCCCATCTATTACAGACAGATCTGTTTGTCCTCTTTAGAGAAATTTACAGGGACAGATATAAATTACCACTTTATTTCCTCATGCCAGATGGTATTATAGTCAAGTTATACCACTGCATCCACTGAGTGCTTCTGATGGTCAGAAAGCAACCATGTACAGAGCCTGTGGTGGACAATGATACGGGATAAAGCTATAAGGCTGGTGACTCGAACTAATAATCAAATTGAGATGAATCAAAGTGGAACAGGAAGAAACTTCAAAAACATTAAGAATATAGTAGGGAAAAAAAATCCATTAAAACTATTTGGAAGATTCATTTCAAGGGTGAGAAAGGAAGAAATGGTTAATTCTCACTGTTTCTCATCTATGAAACAAAGGTACTGTAGCCCTCTCACAGAGATGGCGCAAAATTAAATCAATGAGACAGAAATTTTTAGTGAGTATAGTACAAAGAGAGAGACATGGAACACGAAGAGAAGTATCTTGAGTCGTTCATTTCTGATAGTAAAATTCCAGATGAACTCACACGATTTCATAACATCCCTCTTGAACGGGAGATCACTATGTTACACCTCGATATAGCAACTACGATGCTCGTTCACGTACACAGCAAACCCTTTCTCACTTAAATCATCTACATTGCAGGGGAGTTAGTGGTTTCTTGAACTACCTAAGTGTAAAAATTTAAGTCTCTTCTCTCGTAGTCATTCCTTTTGCTATAAATTGATGGCAATAATTTCTGTTTGGACTAGATAATGCAAATAGAATTGGTAATTTCTAAGGTCATGTTTTTCTTCCCTCCTCTATCATAACAGATGCTTAGGTCAATGAAAACAGCCATTTTCCCTTGAATCTCAGAAAAAATAGAGTTTTTTCTGCTACCACCTCCTGTAGGTGCATTTTCCTTTTTGAAGACAAAAGGGTTCTGCAGGTTGGTTGGCTTATCATATGTACACTAAAAATAAAAAAAACAAATAACCTCGATGCTGCAAGTATAGGTAGAACATTCAGTTTTCAACTGGAGATACAGGTTAAAAATATTTCCTAATGGTCTTCCATGCTATTTGTCACACAGAAGACATGTAGCAGCAATCCTGAAGGGTCACTGAGCATGGAAATAACTCCTGTGAGCAACTAGCCTTCCATTCAGGTTTCTAATGCACCACTACCACCCCCCACTGCCCCAGCCCCCAAAAAACAACAATGAACACCCATCTCTAGGAAAGAGTTATTTCCCAAGAGAATTTCTGACATTTGCAAATGCTTGTTTTCCCATCAATTCATGACTTTTGTCATGCTTTCAGTTTTGACTCCAAGAATACAACCTGAGTTTGAAATCCTGGTCCATTAAACCATAAATGTAGCCCACTATTATGTGGCTTTTGATAAACCATTCCAAATGATGCGTTCTACAAAATACTGCTTTCCCTAGGATATAAGGAGATATATGGGCAATTCCTCTGATTTTGGTAGCATTTAATCTAATTTTTAAGAGACACTACAACGATGATACTCCTCAGGAAATAAGTTGTGGTTTTTGTAATTAAGCCATTTCTCTAGTTTAGGCACAGACTTTAAAAAACAGGAAGGACAGGATCACTTAGATCTCCAAGAATGTTTTGTCAAGCACATGCCACATCAGAGAGTAAGGAATTATTGCTATGCTTAGTGGGTCAGTAATGGAATGCATGCTTCCTGTTAGGCACATTAAAATCAAAGGAGTTGAAGTTCTTTTTCCTACTTAAGGGAAACATCTAAATAGGATAATAAATAGATAGTCCTTTTACAACTACACATACTCTGAAAGAGAAGGTTTAGAGCAGCCTGGGAATATTTTACTGTAAGTCTCCTTTCAAAAAAATACTATGAATTCATCACAGAACTGGACAGGAAGTTTGCAACAAGAATCTTCTCGTTCTTCTACCTCTCCCTCCTTTGGGGAAACAGTAAAAAAAAAAACATCACAAAAAAACCCTAGCAAAAATGACACAATCGTTTAATGCTATGTTCTCCTGCTAGAAAGGAAGAGAAAAGCAGAGAAAAGCAATAGCTGATGAAGTCTCAGATGTCTGCAGTCAGTAAGACTTTACCTGCCAAGCAATTAGATCTTTGAGTCTATTCAGCTTTTCTTGATCCTCTGGATGGTCTCTGATATATTCTTCTGTGAAGAAAGCCTTAGACAAAAAAAAACCAAAAAAAAGTAATTCAGTCTATCATTTTATAGTCTATCTATTTACTCCAGATAGTGACCATAATATTGGTTATCAAACAATATGCTCCTTAACCAGATGCTGCTAGTGATAATTTCTTGTCTCAGTTGAGAACTGGGGGTGCTGTTTTTTGTTAAAAGGTATACAGTTCTTATCCAACACTTCTGAGTTTGAAACCCTTACTACGAAACTCAATTATTGTTTGGTTTTTTTTAAGCCTGCACTGAAACTAAAAAGGCACAAATTTGGTGTATCAGGATTCACATTGATAAATGATCATTTTGTTGAAGGTCCCTACTTACTGACATCAGCCAGTGTTACACAATAAAGGGAACCCTTTGGTGGAAAAGGAGAGCCAGACATTGCACACACACACCGCCTTCTGCTGCCCAAAGACTTTCATCCCCAGGTACAAAAGAAGAATGCAGCTAATTGTCCATGACTGCCAAACATCTAAACAAATGATACTTTAGGGCTAACACGGCATAATCCACACTCCTCCAGCATATGTCACGCTTAGCACACACAATTTATGTGTGTACACACACACGCACACACACATATACACAGCATCTTTTCAGCACTACCTGGGTCTATCCGGCATGCTGAGCCTCCTGAGCAGAGCACGCTTTTCATCAGGAAATGGCAGGCAGAAATAAGAGACGTCTACAGCTGTGGGGTAACCCCACATTCATTTTTTGTCCAAAACTTGAATAGTTTAAAATTTAAATTTACATGAGTTTTTCTCATTCCTGCCTTCACAAGGTGGCCTTGGGGACAAATTTTCAGTTTTTATTTGCATTCCCATTTTTTAACAACACAACCTGCTATGCAGAATGGCTGCGGTTGCTGAGAAAACCTGATGATGGTTCAATTGACAACCCACATCTACATACTCCAGACCTACTGTAGGATGAACTTGACTCATTTATTCCAGACTAAACCTTTCCATGCCGAGAGCCTGTTTCTTTACAAAAGGGGTATCTCGTCTCACACGTATACGGAAACCCTCACAACTGCCATTAATACTGAGCTTCAGTTGCTCCAGTTTGCCAGTTTCTGCCTTCGCAGACGGATGTGATCAGGATATCAGGATCTCTCAATCAGCAGAGTTATGACTTTCAGATTCCCAGCCCACATTCCACTGCCACTAAGAGCAAAAGGCTGTAGGAGGATTATATCTGAATACGCTCTTTGTATTGACTTAAAAGCTCTTACCTTCTCATATTTAGCAAAGCCACCCATAACAGCTGGATCAACAATTCCATTCAGAAGCATAGACAGTGGATTAATAGGAAGGTTCTCATCACTCTGGTATTGGTTAATCATCATCAAAATTTTTTCATTTGTCATGGACATAGTCTCAATGGCATTCTCTAAAGGACTGATTGTAGTCTACAAAGAAACAAAAGGCTTCTAAGGTTTAGAAAGAGATAAAAAGGTCGTCTTGGTTTTATAAAACTTCACATATATGAACAACATTCTTACAATTCAGCAAACCAACACAGATTTGTCAATTCTTTTAGGACTTGGTCCTGAAGCTGTAAGTCATATGTAATAGATATTGATCCCAGCAGTAGAAAGATAAAACATAAGTAGTAACAGTTTTGTATGTATAAAAATAAGTAAATAACATTAACTTTGTGTGATAAACTTGCAGACTATTTTGTACATGAGGGTACATGACATTTGACAGGTTTTTAGCATGTTAATACACACCTGTGACATGGAGACAACCTCAAACCATCGTAAAATTCCAGGAAGTTTGTATGCTGTAACAAATGATGTTCTCTCAATCCACATAGACTGTTAAAAAAAGATAGCAGGGAGAAAATGATACGTCAGGATTTAAACTTTAATCTTTTCTGCCTTCTGAAATGTCGGAATGAAAAGAAAGTGGATGGAAAACATAGGCACATTTTTGCATAAAAACACACTGCAAAATGAATGTAGTGCAGCAATTGGCACAAATTATTTTTCTGATTTCAGGTTAGGTCATGCTCAGGCACTAAGACTACACAAAGCAGAGGAAGATGAAAATGACCCTTGAATCTTTCAGCATCTATTCCTATTTTTGCCATTACAGATGGAATGACTGTGACGAAATGACCTACTCTCACCTCTACCTAGATTACACTTCCTCCCTCCACTTCTGAAATGTATTTCTGCAATTAAAAGCAGTAAGAGCCCTATGACAACTTGCCAGCTTTCTTACTTTTTTTTTCCTTTCATTTTGCTCTTCTGAACAAGACCAGCTGTTGGCATTTTAAAATGCCACTTGTTCATTTACCTTACTGCTCCTTATTTTACCAGTACTGGCTCATCCAAATGCCAGTACTGAGAAACACAACAATGAATGCAATGAATGCATACTCCAACTATTCCAATTTCCACCTATCTGAACTAAGTATACATAGTATCTATTGTCATCAGCAATGAAAACATTAAGGGTTCAATTTTTGTCAAACCATTTCAAGGGATCTTCATAAGTCGTTTCAAAACCCTCTAGTTTACAAAGGAATTGTCATGAGTCTTGATAATGCAGTGCAAAGCTGGAATATCAGGGTAGAGTTTGCATCTGAATATTTAATTTAACAGCAAGTAAGCAGCTCCTTACATGAAACCTGTTGACACTACTGATCAGCATGCACACAACTGAAATTGTACATTTTTAAAATAAAGTGCTTTTCCCATCAGTTTCCCAAGAGCAAAGCTTTAGCCATAAAGATTGGATGGTATGGTTTTCACAACAAATAGAAAATATCTGCTATCTGTAAAATTAAAATACAGAAACTTACCACATTTTTATGCATGACACAAAAATAATTTATGGTGTTGTGGATTTCCTAGAATATTTGAACAACAAAGACTACTTCTCAGCATTACGTATGAGAATAAAAACTATACAGGTAGTACTCTGGTCTGCCGAGATTTCGCAGGAGCAACGAAAGCAGACAACACACGCCTCTCCTTGCCAAGCTGGCAGCTGACAACAGTGTGGGAAACTACAAAAGGCAAACCATTTGGTATTTGTTTACATATCATTTTGTTTCATAATGGAAATCTGTACCAGAAAATGTGGTACAAATGTGTTGGATGTACTTAACTACATACTGTTTGCTTGCAAATGAAACAGTGATGTGTCACTAAGTAAGTACACAGGAGTGCAAAATACAGAAATCTTGCATTTATTTTTTTGAACCAGATCCTAAAGTTACAGTGTCTGCAATGCTTGATCTGAGACTAAGAAAGGATCTAGATCGACATTCAGTCACAGCCACCAGAGCTGCAGCCATCACCCTGTCATTCATTTACTTACGGCAAATTCATTTTCAGGGTCAACAGATCCTTTTCGGACTGGTCTTGAATAGTGGAACCGATGCACATTGTTGGACTTATAAAAACTGAAAAATTTAAAAAAATCTATTAATTAAAAAAGACTTGTAAAATACAGAATTCAGAAATTTACGGATCTTGTCATCACAGTGAAATATTTAATTTTGAGTCAGTTGAGTTTTTATTTAAAAGCAAATTTACTGCTCAAAAAAAAAAGCACTGAAAAGTCAGGATACAACTACTTTATCTACAAATCGGGGTCAACACACAGTATTTTACAAGTATTAAGCTTCAGCTTGTGACTGGGTGTAATTTCCAGGTATAAAATTTCGAGAACTTCCAGATTAATGTTAAAATCTACAGAAGATGGTCTAGAAGACTTTTACTTTCCTGTATTCTTGCTGTAGCATGCACACTGCTTGCCTGCTTCATAACAGCATACAAAAGGAGTATATTTTCTTAAAAATAACTGACTGAACAGAGAGGATATATTCACATGGACTGAAATACACGTTTTTTCATCACATGCCAGATCAGTTTAATCACGTCTAACAATTCTGCTGACAAAGCACAACAATAGTTATTCGATAAAGTAAACATTTGAAGCCATTAATAACAATTTCTTGTGATGGATAAGAAAATAAATGTAAACACCATCAACATAAAGAAATGTATTGCAAATTCATGTTATGGCCTATTCTATTTGCCTAATGAATCATTCTCAATCACTGCGAGCACATATTGCCACTACTCGGAACCACTCAGCTTTTAGCACTGGCTAATGTGAAAGAACAGAGATTGCACACTTTTGCCTAAGTATTTTGCAGTCCACAGAAAAATCTCTCCTTTTGGTTTTTAATTTTTGTTTTAAAGATGAATTAAAATGAAAGCCATGTTAAGTAAAAGTTAATTTTGCAGAGAAAAAAAAATCTCAGAAATATCATACAGCAAAACCAAGCCATGTTTTGGAAGCCTAGAGAGACAAATAAATGGAGAGATCACAAACAGTTGAGCTAAGCAAACTCCTGGCATGTTAGTTCATAGGAACCTACGATTTCTGAGCCAAACTACTAAGATTATCTTCACCAATAAAGAAAAGAAAGTGGAAAATACTGCCATACTGAGTCAGATCACTTTATACAGTTCCTTCTGAAAGGACAGATTATTTTGAACCTCTTTGACAGAATAAATGTATTGCCATCAGCTAATACAACTAACATTTAAATGTCCAATGAAGTACCCTTAGAAAAATAAATCTTCAAGACCAGATGAAATCAGCAGTTAGGCTGAATTCTGCAGCTGAGATGAACAATTACGACATCTCCCTTATGACAAGAGATTGTACTTTATGTGGAGCACTTTGCTAAATAAAACTGTTACAAGTTCAAAACGTGGCTGGAAATACACTGAAATCTAGTCAAATAGGACCATATTTATAAGCTGTCTTTCAGTTACTGATTTTAAAATGAATTCAAGTTGAAATTGGGACCACAGTTCTTTTTTTTTATTATTTTGTTTAATCTTGTAGTACAAGACCTGTGCTTGTATCTGTTTTATTTATTTTGGTGTAAGTGGGGAGGTGATTCTTATTTTTCCACTCTGAATCAATTTGCAGTTTCAGTAAAGATTTCCTAGAGAAGTCTGCAGACTAAGGTGACATCTAGTTTAAATCCAGCTGTGGAAGTTCGAAATTAACTCATCTCAGCCGAAAAAAAGAAGCCTTCTATCTTCAGTCTCTTCTTGGAAAGGCGTAATACAAGTGTTGTTACAGGGTTTCGTCTGAGTTTTTGTTTAAGTGCGGAGGCATTGCAAAGCCTCTCTTGCAGTAAAAACGCAGGTGTCTCAGTCTACTGGGAGAAACTTTAGTGTAAGATGCCTGTTTCAACCAGTCTGAACTACGGAGATACAGTCACACCGTGTGCTTCCACCACGCACTGACAAGAAGAGGGAGAAAATATGTCCTGCCTTAACTGATGGCGCTTGTACTTTTTGCTGTTCTTAAGTTACAACCTATCAAATACTATCTTGAAATTTTTCATTCAGGTGTTAGTGATAAGCAACAGCCTTTATTGATCATGTTTACAACCTTACAAATCACAGAATGGTTTGGGTTGGAAAGGACCTTTAATGATCATCTAGTTCCAACCCCCCTGCCATGGGCAGGGACACCCTCCACTACACCAGGTTGCTCAAAGCCCCATCCAACCTGGCCTTGAACACTGCCAGGGATGGGGCAGCCACAACTTCTCTGGGCCATCTGTGCATCACCACCCTCATAGTAAAGAATTTCTTCCTTATATCCAATCTAAATCTACCCCCTATCAGTTTAAAGCCATTTCCCCTCATCCTGTCACTACAGGCCTTGGTAAAAAGTCTCTCTCCATCTTTCTTACAATCTCCCTTTATATATTGATGGATTTGGAGTCAAAATTCTCACAAGCCTGAAGTCAGCCAATATTCCAGTAGGTACTTTATGCAGTTTTGGCATCAGCTATTAGAATGAACCACCACTTTTCACATATGTAGTCAGAACACTTAATTCATAGATTCATAGATTTCTAAGTTGGAAAAGACCTTAGAGATCATCGAGTCCAACCGTCCCTAGTCCCCATTAAACCATATCGCTAAGTAGATCATCCACCCTATTCTTAAACACATCCAGGGATGGAATTAAGAGCATGTATTAAGTTTAACCTGTTCTACATTGGGTTAGGAGTTTGGAAATGTCTGTTCTCAAAATACTTTCGATAATTCATTTCCTTTACAAAATCTGGACCATAGTGTCAATGGAAACCGTTTTGCCACTATGTGTTTTGCACTTGGCAAGAATTCCTAACAGGATTCTATTGTACAAAAGCCTTCAACTCAACCATTCTCACACTGTCAGTGATCTCCAAGACCGCTCTCTCCATGACTTGTCTAAGAAGTTCTGTTGAACACGTGAACTTGAACCCAAAGCATGGATTCCACCCCTCCCCACCCTGTAACCATGTGCCATTCCTTAAGTGGTAGCGTGGCAGGTGCTCTTTCATGAAACTCCTAGGGAATACATAAGTCAGTAAACTAAGACAATGAAAGCTCTAAGATTCATTGGCAAATGACTCAGTTTACAAAATAATGGTTGTTGATTTAGGAATATGGGCTGACTTTCATCACATTATCTAATACAGAAACTCACTCACTTTATGATTTGATCAGGTACTGCCTTATTTTTGAATCTAGGTTGCTCCTCCAGGACTGGCTGCACTGTAAAACACTGGATATCTGAAATTGTGAAAGTTAAGGGCATAGTTATTAACCATCAGTATGAAATACTGTGTAGGCTGCAGGAGAAATAAAAAAATAAAAAAAAAAAGAACGAAAAAGAAATCAATAAAAGAGACACTTCTTGACGAAAAACGTGCAAGGTTCGGGGTTTCATTTGTGGATCTTTCTTGGTCAAAAAAGGAAAAATCTGCCAGTAGTAAACAGTGAATATATATTAATATTAATTTTGAATTGTATATTTTTATTATTTATTAAGCTTGAATATCTGTAGTTGAATTTATCATACTGAATCATTCATTAAATTTTAAAGCCAAACCAACTTAAAAATACATCAACAACATCTGACATGAACAGTTTTTACTATTTAGCTTTAGGCATGCATAACATCATGGTGTTTAGCACTTCATCTTTGAAACCTGTAACTGAGCAGCCCTTTTACCTGAAATTTCCTTTTTTTATTGATTTATTGTTATCTTTTAATTTGAATACTGTATTTGGAAGTAAATAGATATTCTTAGATACTTCAGAATATTTGAAACTCATGCCCTCTGCTTAGATTCTGTAGCCTTTTTCTTAAGTAGTGCATCTCTTGTCAGTTGCAAATAGACTTCAGCAAATTCTACTTGAAGAAAGGACTGAAGCATATGATCTCAAAAAAAAATAGTTAAGACATAAGACAGACTTACAAGAGCTTGTCTCTCAAGCTTAATGCGCTAGTTTAGACAAGCCTGTCTGCTTCAGTCCCAACAATCTGTAAAGAAAGACGCGTTCCTTTTGTCCTCCAGCAGGTTCCACTAGAATAGACTCAAGTGAAGTTTTACAGTATTACTCTGAAAATTAATAAAGGAAAATCAACACTTGAAAAAAACGCCTGATACAATGAGGTCACCTCGTATCTGCTCAGCCAGTAACAACTTACATCAGAACATTAAGAAAAAGGTAACGCACGCGAGCAACTGTTAGAGCACTTCTTTCTAAACAAGAATAATTTAGAGCATTCTAAAAGGTTGTTAACGATGTTTGTGAGTTAACTTCCCTAGGAACATTTCTGAGAGTGACATAAGGCATATTTATGTTGCCAAGAAACACAGGTGATATCCAAATGCAGTGCTAGTCAGAACCGTGTTCAAGGAAGAATTTCATATCAAGACACAACAGCCAGGAATGTGAGGGAAAAGACAATTTGCTGCTTTTAACTCAGCCAATTCAAGGGTTCATCACTGGGTTTGCCATTTGAAGAAAATAAAGATAAATCACGTATAAACTCAGATGCATTTTCTCCACAGAAAGGATTACAAGCACTGGAACAGGCTGCCCAGAGAACTGGTTGAGTCACCATCCCTGGAGGTATTCAAAAGACGTGTAGATGTGGTGCAGAGGGACATGGTTTAGTGGTGGACTTGCCAGCGTTAGATTTATGGTTGGTCTTGATCTTAAGGGTCTTTTTCAACCGAAATGATGCTATGATGACTGAAAGGGACAGGCTCCTTTGAATTGTGAGAGAAACAGGAGCAAACGTCTTAGGAACAAACCATAAAAGACATGCAGAGCATACAAGTAAAACTGCAAACTGAGCTGCCACATTACTAACTCCTATCCTTTTCAGGAAATGATTGTTCCACACAGATAAACTCTTGCTAGAAACAAGGCTTCCCCAACCCGCCTTCATTCCATAATCTCCCACATGTTCAAGGATACATTGACCAGGAGAGTTTTTCACATCCTCTCCAGGTGCTGAGGTGGTGTTCATCTTCTCTGCGCTGGGAAACTGGCTCATCAGCTGTGCCTGGAAATCCTCTCTCCTCTCATATTCCTTCCCACGATAGATGAATACTTTGTTCTGCAATGAACAAATGGCATCACACAGCCCGAGAAATCAGCTGAGGCAGCAGTGACAGATGCATGTGTATCAGTACAAAGACACAATGGGGTCTCCAAATTTTGGAGTGAGAGTTACTGCGTTCTGAAAATTCATTAACTCTAAAGCAAGACACCATTTTGACCAGGTGCTGGAATGCAGCACTGATTCTCCAGAGACCATACTTTATGCTGTTGGAATAAAGATAAACTGGCATCACCACTGAGCATGCTCCTCTAGAGCAGAATAAAATCAGAATGAGAGGTAAGAAACGTACTAAAACTCCGTTTCTTCTGTCTGTCAAGTAAGAGAATTTGCTTTGAAATACATCCTGGGTCCAGGTTTCACAGCTTTCTAACACCAAGATACAGGTTTCCTCTGCCTGCTCCTTCTCCTTGGTATTATGGAAGGTCTTCATTTACAATACAGCCTAACGCCAAACATATTCATTTGTGGTCCATTTGGCTTCACTGAGAGAGTAGATTCAGTGTACAGAGGTTTATTTCAAGAAAGCAGTTCAAACTTACCATAATTGTCCTAAGGTATCAACTAGCTGTTACCATTCAGGAAAAAACTTAGAGTAACACAAGACAGTTGGTATGAACTTGTCAGCTCAATTCATACTAGAGATAAAAAAGCACTCTGGATTTCTGTCATTATGAGAACACAGGAAACGAAAAGAACACCAGTATCACACTGAACAAATTCCCAGTGTATTCACATTTCAAACACTATGTACATTACTTCTCCTGCCATCTCATGAACTAGGAAATTGTCAGCAAGGGAACCAAGATGTTAAAACATATGGAATGGTTGCTGTGAAAGCAATGTCTAAACAAACCAAGACTATAAGGAATAATATGTCATGGCATGAGGAAGGTGATTGAAGGGCAACTGTTCAGCCTCTCTGTAAGAACCAGTGAAGATGAATTATCACATGACAACGAAAAGGCAACAGAAACCTCCAAAACACAGAGTTGTGTAATGTGAGGCCATGGTATGTTCTGGAGTGCATCAGTTCAGAAAGCAACTGGACAAATTCACTACCGAATGATCCATGAAGGGACAGAAACCCAAAGCATCACCTCCAACCCAGGAAGCTGTTTACAGGTAAGTAGGGGATATAAACCAAGTCAGTATCACTACACACCCGCTCTCCCACTGTTAAAGACACACTGTTGGGCTAAAGAGTGCCTTGTTTGGAGAAATATGCTGTTTCTACATTTGTCATGTATTTCAGTTGTAGCTGAGAGGCAATGTAAATCTGAAACTCTTGTCAGTCCATGACAAGGTCCACTAAAAATACCAAGCTCATCTGAAACAGAACTTTGGATTTAATTTGAACACAAATTAATTAATGACATTCTACTAGTTGTCAATAACCTGTGTGGGGACTCATCTGAGAAATATGCACCCTAAGAGCTGCCCATACCAAATTACATCACATTACTGCATTTGGCTCTCATATATCACTTTCACTACCTGATACAACTTCTAGTTTCCACAATCAAACTGAGAGAAAGAATCAACTTCAACACACCTGAAAACATTTCATGCATATTCTTGCAAGTAACAATTCAGACTCTGACTACAGTCCTGCATCCAAGCAAAACTAAATCCATGGTAAAAATCCTCAGATACTCACTCGCATTAGTAGAGCACACCCATATGTAAGAAGCATATGAAAATATATGAAAAAAGTAAGAATTTAAACAGCTTTACCCTTAGAAATGTGGGGAATCCTTGGCCATAATATCCAACAGCAAAGTAGTCTGGTTTAGGTCTCAGAATTTTCATGATGTTTTCATAGAACTTAGCTTGTTGAATCTGAAAGCAAAACCAACTGCTATTACTTGTGTTTGAGGTTTTTTCCCATTTATTTTTTACCCTCTGCAGCAGTACTATGTTATGTCCTACAGCTGTCAGTGGACACGCAAGAGTATCAATGATCAGCTGGTGAGCTATAGCAACGATCAGTTAGCATGCACTTGCACGTGACACTGCTCTAGTACATTAAACATTGTTTACATTTATATGCAAATATAACACAGAGCTAAACGTGTATGGCTTCAACTTCAATTATTCGACCTTAATTTATTAGCGTAAAAAGAAAAAGTAAACATGGAAGTTATACGTGGCATTTTACACTTTAAATACTTAACTGATAACGTTACTGAAATAATACACGTGGAAAAGCTCCCTGCCTCCAATGTTTTCTGAGGAATGGGCCAACTCAAGCTTTTGCCCTAGCATCGTGCTAAGGACACGCACCATGTCAAGGGCTTGGAACAATGCCATAAAATACTAAGTGCCATTTTGGCCTGCTATTTTTATTTCCCGTATTAAAGCAACACTGCAACTTTAATGGAAGTGGCAAAAATACTGTCTTTATCTTTTAGTTTATGACAAAAGAACATCATGTTTTGATTCCCATGGTTTCTTTGTGGAAGATTCAGGGATACCTATTGAATGAGCCCTAAACATTTATTAAAGATCATGCAAGTGTGGAATCTTGGGGGTGGAAAAAAAAGAAGGAATTTGGGGAGGGAATTCTTTTTAGCTTAATTTAATTTTAATGAAAACAAATAATTGAACATCTAATCTTCCTTTAAACTCTTCCTTCTAGTCTTTGGACCTAGTTCTAATTCCTTGTGATGTAGACGTATTACTTTCCCCAGTCCCTGACTAAGACAGAATTCTTTAGGCTTGTCAAGATTCAATTTCCTAAAATTTAAAGAAAAATTTCAGGGGAAAAAAATGCATCCATGTGCTTTTTCTACCCTAAAGTAGTACAAAGGCCTCAAAAAACTTTTATATTTATTTTATACATGGTCTTTAAATTACACTAAGTGAGAAGGTGTTTCTCTCATCTACAGAGGTTTCAAAATATCTCAATAGGCAGTTATCCATGAAATTCTGATGAACAATTATTTATGAATCTCTATTTTACCACTGGATTGATACAATACAACAGAGCAACTCTTTGAAAAATGAACTAAAAATCAATTGTAGACAACAAGCTCATAAGCGGCTGTATCATTTAACAGTTCAAAAGTATTAATTTCTTATGTAAGTCTATAATCTTACCAGGTTTTTACTTAGAAGTTCATAGTCAAAAACTTCCTTTTCATATTGCTCTGCAAGTTCTTTGCATAAGGATATGGCTTCTTCCCACATCTGCAATGTAATCACATATTCAAAAAGTAATACCAGTACTGACAAACAGGTTTTTAATGCACCTCTGTTTAACTATAGTTTTATTGATTATGCTATCTTTAAATTGCAGTCATTTATTAAATGCACATTTAGAATGGAAGACTCAAGGCAATCATAAACTTTAGGAAAGCACATTAACGTAAAAAATAAAAGTGTTTTATGGTTCACTATAGGAAGGAATAAGTAAACCTACTTTATTCTTAAAATGAGATAATAAAAAGTCACCTAACCTTTCAGAGCCATTAAAAAAGAAGAGTGAATCATTGGGGTGCACAACATCCAGAATACACCCCAAGCATCGAGCCCTGTGTGAGGGGACTGACACCTCCCTCGCTTTAGAACAAACTCACTTCACGTTACAAGAAATTCTGAAGCGTACATGATCATAGGTGGCCTTGCACGTGACGGCTCTCCTGGTCAGCTACAACACTGCAAGACTTCAACTGCCACTTGCCTGGAGCAGCAGCTTGTTTCTTTCCACACGATGTAACAGCTACCTCTGAAAATGACTGTGAGGAATAACAGAGCTGCACTGGCAAGACTAGGACAGTTTTTCTCATCTGCTATAGGCACTTTATATATGCAGCACAAAAGTGGTCTTGAAGCAGACAGAGACTCCTTCTCCTGAGGATATTCCTCTAATTCTGTCAGTTTTCTCATCTGTTCAGAGTAGAGGAGCCAAGAGGGGTTCTCTGAGCATAACTCTCCACTGATGTAAGGACACTGGTGGTCACAGGCGTTACGGCCATTTTTACACGGTGCCATGTGCTCCTAGGCTAGCTAGCTCTGAACCTGACAGCTGCATGCAGCTGCCTGCAGACCTCCTTTGATGTATCTCAGGAGAACCTGAGCACTGGGACCATCAGAAATCCTGAGGATTTGATTGTTCCGATACAGTGGGTGGAGACTGCTACATTGTAGTTCTTTCAGATGCCAACAAAACCCCAAAACACCTGAGAAGTTATAAATAGCACTGCATTTTCTTACTCCAAAAACCTTCTATCCTCTGAATTGTAAGAGGGACCTTTGTGGGGGAGTTATGCCTTTATTTTGCAAGAAGCAGTAATGAATTGCGTTCCCCCTTCACCCTTTTGGCTACAGCTCAACAAGACATGATGACTTAAAGGCCTTATTGGTCATGAGATTCATTATCCAGCACTGCAGAATTTTGCCCTGCTTTCTAGTCCTTTGCTTTACTTCCAAAAATCTCAGCTCTACTCTCCTTGTATTGATGGGCAATTTTATTAACAGATTTTTTTTTAAAAGCTGAACTGAACGCAGGTATTGAATATCAAACTACTACATTTTAAGTTTGAGATGCAATTCTCAGAGTTCTCTGAAACAAACATGTCCATTTTGAACTGTCTGGGTTTTTTTGGAAGGTAATAATCGAATGGTTTAGAAATGCAATCCGTGTAGTTTGTATTCTTTTCCAAGTACATTCAACATTTTTTATTATTTATTGCTGCCTGACAGAGATGCTTGTGACCAGTCTAAACATCAGCCCTCTGTCTTTGTGAACGCGGGTACATGTTCATACAGAACAGATACACTCTGAATAAGCCTTCAGGATATATTTTCCACTTGACACACATTTCAAAGAGGATTTCCTACACAAATGTTTTACACAGAGAATATTCATTAAATACTACTATAGAAAGTAACACAGTAAAAGCAGATTTGGCAGGGGGAAGAAGTCTACAGCCTACCTTTCCTTTGTCAAAGTATTCTATGATCTTCTCATACAAATTCTCTTTCAAGTGTCGATAGGTCTGTGAGCACTGGAACTCTGTTGACATGACTTGGGGTGCACACTGTTCATCTGACCACTGAGAATAAAACCACATTACAGTAACACATGATTTTGGAGTTCAACACTTCTGCCAAGGTCTGGTCCCCTGAGCTCTTCTAAGTGTATTTTTCCCCAGTCATTCTACTCTTTCACAAAGAAACTGGGAAAGGCACTGGGAATGTTTTCATTACCTCTTCAAAGAAGTACTGTGCTTCATGTGATAACCAGGACTAAGCATAAGACTTGTGTTCCTTCCTGCTCCCACCCAAAAATTTTGGATAAAAATCTATGTAAGAAAATTAGTCCATTTTATTTCAGTGGTATCATCTTGATTGATTTGGTTTTGATTTTTTTTGTTGTAAAATATTTGCATATAGTATTATCTTTGTCTATACAGACATACAATATACCTCATATTTTTGTATAATCACAAAAGTCAAAATGTAGTTTAAGCAAAATAGCACTGTGAAAAGCCAAATTTATATGGTTCTGCACTAAAAGAAATTCCCTAAGAAGTCTCAAATTTTGGCTGAAGAATATTTAAATTTTGCATTTTCCCTTGGAATAGAAATGCGTCTTACTGACCACTTCTATAGATAACGACAGTTACAATGAGAACAAATATTAGTTGTGGTGAAAAATATTTACCAGTTATAAAAGAAAGCAAATATAATTTGGAAGAGCAATTCATATTATTTAAAACAAAAAGTCAGATGTCCCCCTGTGATAGCTGGAAAAAAATGCATTTAATTTTCTGGATTGTTATGGTTGGGATAGTAAGAAATCAGCAAAATGAAAACCAAATGGCTTCAGAATTTGTGCATGACGTTCTCACTATAAAGTAAAACTATTTTTGCTACATTTTTTGGTTTTACCGATACATGGCTTTTAATCATCTATTGAAAATACAATTTCAACAACTAATGTTAATTTTGTATTACCTACTAGTCTTTTTAGCTAGAAACTTGAATACCTCTATGGAAAATAATTAATATGCAGTAAATCAGAAATTAAGACAATCACTTTTTAATTTATAAATTTGAAAATAGCAAAAGCTTATTTATATATTGAGTTTAGAAAATCTAACCTTCAAGAGCCACGTATGGAGTAGAAGGGTATAGGCTGCTTCCGTGTAATTCTCACAATCTAAATGAAGATCTCGCAATTTATATAAATATCTGTTAGAGGAGAGAACGAGAAATAGATTAGATATTGACATGGCTGGAATACAAAGTGTCAACAACCTTCTGGATAAACTCTGTAATGGAAACTCCACAGATGTCACGCAGTCACTACCCAAGGAGTCTCTAAGGACACTCAGAGGGGTTAAACCTCTGCGTTTGTTCAGACTTCTCCATGTTCTCTTTGTGCGCTGAAACATCAAGAGTTAACCTCCTTCTGTGAGCTGGTGTCAGCCCCGCCTCTAAGAGGAAGACTGACTAGACTCAAGGTCTAAGTCAGACTCCGAGCCCATTATTTCTGGACTGTTATAAAGATAGCTGCATGTGAACACCTTCCATGTAAATAAATGCAATAAATATGTCCGCTGTAAATAAATGCATGTAAATAAATACCTCATGATAGATAACATGAGGTAAAGGAGAAAACAGAAAACACCAGCCCAGAAAGACAAAGCAAGTCCTTGTACAACCTGGAAGGTGGTAGGGGCAGAAGAGTTGTTCTATGTTGCCCATGTCCTCCTTGATCCCTAGGGCAGCACTGCTGCTACCAGCACATCCACTGCCCATCATGTGCCTCAAGCCACATCTTTTCCAGCAGTCAGAAAGAAAAAGCACATCTCATCCTCACACACACAACAGGAGTTCTGACACAGAACTCTGACATCCTGCTGTAGCAGTTCATTCCCAGTTGTCAACTCGAGTGAAAACGTGTCCCTCTCAGCAATGCCTGCACAAGGAGCCGTGGTTTCTCCCTGGCCACTCCAGCCCATAGCTTCAGGTTCAGCTCAATCATCTTCAGTGCTCATCTCAGATGAGATTCTGGGCTTCGCAACCCAGCAGCTGAGGTGCAGGTGGTTCTGCACATTTTGCAGAATGAGAAGTAGGAAACAGTGAGCTTCTGAACACCAAGATTTGCTGCAGCTCATATGCAAAACCCTTGGAGACAGTAAGAGGCCATGTCACACCTGCAAGAATTTGCCAGTATAGCTATAGCTCTTACAGAAAAACACTTTACTAGTAACTCTCCATTGCGTGTGGTGTTGCATATTTAAAGAGACTTGTCAGGCTGCACAATTGTGCAAAACTTCAATGTTTTTTCTACCATTCCAAATGTGCGATACACCCTCCAGCAAAACTCAAACCTAGCTCTGTTTTCTTTATTTTAAACTATAGACAATGAACATTGAGTGATTTGATCAAGTAAAAGTTGTTTCCTGGGGAAAAAAGTGTTGCTGCTGAATAATATGACAGATTCTAAATTGCTGAAGGCTAAGCAAACAGTGGTGTAAGAATATAAATGAGGACAAAGCTACGACAGAGTCATTTTGGATGGTAAACTAACATTAAATAACAGAAATCCAAGTACGATGATAGAAAAAGAATCCATAAGAGAATATTATTGCCCTCTCCAAAACAGATCCAACAGAACAAGTGCCATACCTGATATACATCTCTTCACGGTTAATGTCCTTGTAGAAATTCTGGGGATATAAACAGTTAGAAGTTATCTCCCAATGTCTTATTAAAACTCAAGATAAAAATATACATGCTGAGGTTTTGCTTTTCTTGCTAGTTGGACAGCATAAGAAACACATTATTTATAGACTATCTTAAGTTTCAACATGGCACTACTGCTTTGATTAATATTTTAATTAGTTATTAGTATGTGTTATTATTATTAGACACTTCACTATTTACATCATTAGTGAAAGTTTTTCTGTTGGAGAAGAGGAACATATGGTTATCCAAATGCATTAACACAATAAGCATGCTCTGGCTATACTTCATGGCCAGAAAAGCAGCTGGTATTTACTGAGTTCACATGTAACACTGTTGATGTGTGACACTGTGGTGCGATACCTCTAAAGGAGCTAATTCCAGGAATAAAGCCCATTTTTGTCACCATAATTCTTCTGCAGGTACATGAGTTTCTAAGGCTGTGCAGAACATATGACAAGAATCGCCTACTGAAGAGCTGCAGAAATTTATACGGCATTGTGCAGTGGTTACTGAGGAACAGAGAGTATGTGAGTGCACCTACAAATTAACCATGTTCTCCTTCCGACCTTTAAAGCTGATGAACGTTCCTCTTCAGCTTAGAGGAATTTCCCGATGGAAGAACCTCTATATGTGATATCCTCATTACAAAACGGGAATAGAAAAAAAAGACTAAGGGGTCTAGAACCAGAACAGAGAGTCAAATCTTGGCACCTTACTGCAGGTGTATCTTGCAGGTTTCTTCCCCAGATTAAAAAACTGTAACTGTTGAGTTGCCACAGCGAACGGCGTAGTCCCTCACCCAAACTTGACTCTGGCAAAAGCCCACTGTTACGTTAAGCCTATCAAAGGTAACAGTACATGAGCAGTAGCCTTCCTTATTTATCCACAGATTCAAGTGGATAAAACATTCGAGCAAAACCAAAGAACTAAGTGGACAGTGCTTTCAGGTTCGTGCATACACCCATGCAAACAGGTATAAAAATCTCTCGCCTCAAAGTTTAAATCCCTACTACGCACTGGCAGCCACTCCTGTCCCCAGGAAGACTGACTGTCATCTTTAGTAAACGGAATCTAAAGCTATTGCCTGCTGTCACACAGGGATCACAGGAGGGAACATACCAGTAAGTTCACAGTGCAGCTCATGCGGTTGTCCTTGCTCTCATCATTCATCACGGTTCGGTAATCCAGCAGTTTTTCCAAGAGGCCTTTAACCAGGCTGACAAAACTTTCAACCAAGTTAAAAATGTCGCTATACTGGCACGCACACTCTGTAAGACTGCAAACACAAAAGAAATATTTGTACAATTCTGAAAATCATTGTTCCATTAGCTGAAAAACTGTTTGGACCTGGAGGCAAATGCTGAATTAGGGCTAAAGCAACTGCAGAATGCACTGGAAATTCCCTTTGTGGGATGGCAACTTAGATATCCAGAAGGCAGCTGGGATATAAATCAAAAAAAAAAAGAGAAAGATTTACTTTTCCTGTTTGAAAATGACTTCAAATTCAAGGGTACAGCCCCAGTTTCAGAATGGAGCAACCTGCATCCCTGATAAAATGAACTCGAGTCTCTGGAACGCTGCTACACTACAATAAGCATTAGACCTGCTTTGCCTCTGTTACCACGCAACGTGAAATGCAACAATTGTTTTCTTCTCTGTCCAGTTACGTGTAAGTAGAAAGTTCAAACCAATATAAATTACAATTTTAAGTCAAAAAAGACATTCTCTAACAAGAACTCACCAAAGCAATTGGCCCTTGAGAACAACAATGAAAACAAAACAGTAAACTTTCTGCAGATTAAAAAAAGCAGTCAGTTTCCTTTTGATAAGGAAAAGTGATAGGAAAGCGAGTTTTATACATCACCGTCAGATTCCAATTTACATTAACAAACTATTACCATATGCTGTTTCTGTAAGGTGCTGAAGTGATTTAGAAGGAGATATTTCACATTACTATCATAGCTTTGCTTTCAAAGCTTAACTCTTTAAACATTATGAAATGATTATGTGCATCTCATTAAGGATTATTTTCTTTCTTTGCTTAAAAGCTTGTTTCCTCCCCTTAGCATGCTGGTTTTCCATTGGGATTCTCTCTGACAAACTGCATTTTATATCTATCTAGCTAAAAATATATATAGGCATATATATAGTGATATATGCACGCAGTGGGTCTTGCTGAAATGGAGTTAATTTTCCCCACAGCAGCCCCCATAGTGCTGTGCTTTGTACTGGTAGCCAGAAAGGGGTTGATAACAGCCGGGGTGTTTTGGCTACAAACAGTAAAAACAAACCAGCAATTACAAAATCATCTCTGAAACTACGCTGTGTGTTTAAACTGAATAGTTTCAATGCCACATTATTATTGATTTCTGACCTCTTAGTGTTTCATTAACAGCATTCAATTTACACGCAAATACGTTTAATAATTTATTATTAATCTTTAAGTACACTTATTTTTTTAAACTGTCATTATAAAGTATGAAGTTTCTATTAATTGCAGAAATTATTTTTTACTCCTCAAAATTATTTAAACTTTCTTCATAAAACATATATTCGTATTAACTTCAACTGTAAAGAAATCCTCAAAGCTTTGGCCCACAACAGGACCTCAGCAAAGCACCCAGTCTCAAAGCTCCAAGGGAAGCAAAGTAGAAACAGTACCTAATGTTTATTCCTGTGATTGTACAGATCCAAAAGATTTATTTTGCTTAGACAGAGGGACTGTGTACACACATGTCTGAAAACATTTATATTGTGCAACATGTGACAGAGGCTAACAGATAAAACCAGAGTATTTTAAGGGCTGTAGTCTGAGTAGTCTAAAAGAGTGAAATATTTAAATAAATTATTGAAACACAGCTTATCACATAAACATATTGCAAAAGAAATGTTAAATATTAAAGGGTCTGAGGAGCTGACAATCGGCAGAATAGGTGGGAGCACATTGAATGATATTTATGGAAAAGAAAGCAAGCTGCAGAATCATATAGGAGACTGGAATACAATACAGGAAAAATGGGATTATTTTACATATGTAAGTATCAGAAACATGATAAGATGCTACCAAAGGAAAGTAGAGTCACCATTTAAGTGACTCTTATGAATTTTTGCCATAGGGTCACTTGGAGTGACAGCAAACAAGGCAGACTTACGAACGTTACTTGACTGTGAAACGAACATGAGTCACCAAGGCATCACATTTCTTTCCAATACAAGTAGAAAAACATTGACATAAAACACGAGCTATTGCTAGATCTCACCCAGGATATAGTACCTAACCCCAGTTGTTAAAGGAAGATGAACCAGAGTACACATAGAGGTGAACTACAAAATGATCAGGAGAGAGGAATACTTGTCTCATGAGGGAAGATTTAAAAAGTTTTCCTGCTCAGTTTTATACAATAATCCCAATAAAAAGGCCCCATAAAACTTTAGAAGATTTTTTTTTTCCCCAGGAGGGAGCGAGAAACCTTTGAATTTTTAAACAGAGCTTGAAAAAAAGTTTTAAAATAAAAAATATTTTCAATAAAGCTCAAGAAAACAACTGCATAACATGGGCCACTGCAGTGATGGGGAACTGGAAAGCTTCCAAATGCTCTTTTCTGTTGTGCCTCTATTAGTAACTAAAACATTTTATGAGCCTGAGGACAAGTGGCATAGCACAACTTGTATTCATCTAGCTACATTCTCCTCCGTTTCCCAAAGCAGGCTGGCCTCATCTGTTCTGCCCAGTGAGAACAGCCTCTCGGCTGGTCCATATTGTCCCACCTCTTCCTCGGCGTTGTCTGGGACAGCGTTCATTAGCACAGGTCACAACCTGCCATGGCACATGCTCACATTTAGGACTATGGACAACTGCAAGACAGCATTCAAACGTCTGCTGATCCTACTGAGTTTACTGGGCATGGAGAAGTTCCCAGCAAACAAGCCGTGTGGGTAAGTGGTTGTTATGGAGAAAGGCATCACCACACGAGACAGTCATTGACTACTGCTGAGTGTCTGCATTCAGGTGGCAACTGGAACTCTGTACAAACATGGACAGTTACACAAAGTTAGCTGATGACAATACAACCGAAAGAATAAATCTGGAGGCCATTTTAACTGGGTCTCTAACCAGCTGGAATAGAGGCTTGAAATCCCTGCTTTGAAAGGTGTGAAGGTAGGAAGATTTAAACCAAACCAAACAAAAACAACAGAGAAGAGAGCAGGGTCCTACAACAGACAAGTCACCAGCCTCTGCCTCAACTGCATCTCTACAGGCATCAAACGACTTCAAGGATGGAAGAAAAACATGTTAGCTGGAGATAATATGAAGTTTTGTCTTTAGAAATGTGGAAACCTTGAACTCAAAGTCTTGTAGAATGTGGGAGAGTATCAAGGGGGAAAAAACATCTACATCAAAGAACGACGGGTACCTTGGAAAGGCAGGAAGATGAAATGCTCTGTAGAATGTTTGATGACTATTTAACTGCACTACTGAAAGGATACGAACCAGTTCTCTAGAAAAATATTTGAATGCAAGAGTAAACTGCAAACAAGACGAGCAAAGAATGTTACACAGCTCAGAAAAAGTACACTTCCAAGAGTCTCATACACCAGATCTGAAGGAAGCTTTTCTCTTTGGACTGGTAAAGCCTCAGTTTGAATAGTCTCTCCAGCTCTGAGGCAACGTCATAGTTCAAAATAGATGCATATATTGCAATAATGTCCAGAAAACATTGCATATGATAAACTGAAATACTGGGGCTGTTTACCCTAAAGAGAAGACCCAAGGAAACTTGACAGCAACTTTCAAATCTGTTAAAAGCTGATGCAAAGAGAAACAGAATAAATGATTCTTTATGTTCCCTCTGGGTAAAACAAGAAATAATTGGCTTAAACTGAGGCAAGGAAGATTTAGTATGGATATTTGGAAAAAAACTTACTAGCAGTGAGGAAAGTTTAGCACTGCAATAAATGTCCACCGTGTCGGCTGAATCCCCAGTATCAGAGATGATGAACGGTGGCGGCGGTTTAGGCAGCCACCGCAGTTTAGGCTCTGCAGCACTGCGATTAAGACAACTCTGTGGTTGCAGGCCTGGTTTCGGTCCTACCAAGAGCTAATCTGAACAGCTCTGCATCACCTCGCAGCCATCCTGAGACTTGAAGCCAAACAGTATGCATTCAAAACTGAAAAATGAGTCTATTGCTCTCAGTTTACATAGTCATTGCATGTCAGGAAGTGAAAGAGACATTTTAAAACTCCATCTGTCCTTACCACTGCAGCAGTTTCAAAGAATAGTTTTCTATTGCTTACAAAGGGTCAGTACATTTACTTTTTTCAAGTCTGCCTCTCTATATTCCATCTGCCTCCTCGCAGGACAGAAATTAAACTAACATAGCAAACATTTAAATTATGTTTGATTTAAATTATGTTTCTTTAAAATCATAACATTTGCTTAGAATATAACTACACATTGTTTACACATATTATTTAATTGCCTGATTCAGTTATGTTTTCCCTGAAAGTACACTTTTTTCCATTGTGGTATACACGGAGATTTGATGCTTCATCTGGTGCAGAATGTGCCTTTGCAAAGAGTGCTGCCCCTACACAAAACATACACAAGGTAGCAGGCTTTGAGAAAGCAAAAACATTCACAGTCGACGTCACAAAGCCTGCATCGATTTTGTCACGTAGCTGAAGTGCTGCAGCACTTTTATGCTTAGGAACTCGCAGGTTATCCCTGTTTGAGAAAGTGCATGATGAGCGATGCGCTCCCACCGCTACAGTCCATGGCACAGAGCTGGGAACAAACTCTCAGAGGCACGCACAAGAGTCCACCACTGCCCAGCACGTCGCACCTGCAACCTGCCATAAGCCAAGGCGCAGATACTCAGTCTGAGAACAAAACTGAACGTGGGCAGCCAAGGAGAGGGGGCGATGCTGGATCAGGGTTTGGGATTGACAGAAATATAGAAAGAGAAATATTGTTATTAAACTGTAGCACCTCGCAGTATTCTCATTCCAAGATAGTCACCTTATGTAAATTCAGAGATTAATCTCTTGGAGTGCAAGCTAGACATCAAGAAAAGCAAGTAAGACATTTTAAAATGCCTTATTCTTATTAGTGTGAAATAAAAACAAGAAAGGCTATAAAGAAAAACGAGGAAAGACTAAAAAGTGGGGTAAATATTTGATTATTTTTGCTTGAAAGTTAGATAGAAAAATGCAGGTTAGGTATAGTTTTTCTTCATGATTTAGCTGAAGCATAAAATACTGAAAAGCAATCAGGAAAATGGTTTCAATGAGAAAAACTACAATTCAAACCAGGTTTACTGAAACAGTATGCTATTTCCAGTCCATAAAAAAAAAAAGATGCTAAGAGTCTATTTTATTTTTAAGTGAGTTTACCAACTTGAGAAGTGGGAACAATAAGATAAAAAGGCATTCTGAAGGCATTTATTCTCATGGACTACTTACATGGACTCAAACAACTGCATGTAGTGTTCATCCCCTCGTCCTCCCTCCACCTCGTGGTCCAACTTCAAAATTATTTCATTTTCAAACTGATAAAGAAATAAAAATCAGAACACTGAGCAGATCTCCAGAGGTCAAACACATATCAATATGGCATCAAAATAATACCTTTGTTTAGTGGTATCACACATTCCCAAGGCTAAAATGCTTGAGTACTTTCCAGTTGAATAATGCACACCTGACCATCTCCAGATACCTATTTCCTAGTATGAGCTGACAAAATAACCTGAGGAAACGGGCTCCCAGTGTCTGTATTATGGGTTTTCACAGAACATCTCTGATTTGAAAAGCAGGATTTCAGAGTAAGTAGAATCACTTTCACCCAGATAAAATAAGAACAATCCCACAGTATGCAATACCTTTTTAAATGCTATTTGTTAGGACTATCTAGAACTTCATCATTTCTTCGATTTTATTTTACAGTCATGACGCTGCTTCATTTGGAGCCATCAGCAGCCTTATTTCTCTACTTGTAAGGTCAAAAACTACCTTTTCCTCTCTCTGAACTGAAAAACAATCTATGCAGCCTGTGTGCATACAAAGAGAAAACCTCTTACTATTCCTCCACTGGTCACCCCTTGTCAGCTACCACTAACCAGCCATCTCTTAAAACTCCAAGGCTTCTGGGTTTCCTTTTATCCCAAACAGCTTACGGAGAAGTACTGCATCCCAGTCTGCAGAGCCACCCTTGAAACTTCAACCTAACTACTGGGCTCGCTCATTCCTGTAATAAATTTCTCGAAGCTGGGTACCTGAAGATTTTATCTGTATTATTTACTTTATTATTATTTATATTATAATTATTATTATATTTATTATTTACTTTACTTATTATTTACTTGAGATCTACACTGAAATAAAGCTCTCTTGCTTTACACAGATATAATTATTAAAAGCTCTGTAAAAATGACAGAATTCTTTACTGTATTGACACAGCAAATTTTCACATTTTTCTATCACACAAAATTTCACACCAGTTTCAGTATATGAATAACTGTTTTCTCCCTGGAGTGTTTCTGTGTAATTGAGAGCTTTGGCAGTTTGGGATCCAGACCATCCTGCCAGAGAACTGGAAGCTTTCCACGGTAGAAAGAATTACTATGACATTTTCCATGTGGTAGTTATCAGATAACTGCATGCAAGATACATTTCCTTACTTAAATACATCTTAATCAGAAAGCTCAGCCCTGAGCTGAAGAAGCCAAGCCCAAGGCTACGTATAAAAAAATTAGTTCTTCCCCTTAGAACACCAAGCAGGTCATGCATATCCTCAGACTAATGTTTTGGAAAGGACAATTTCTTCAGTTGTGGAGAACATGACATTCTAACAGAAAACGGGTACTCCATGTACTTCCTTCAAGTAGGTCATGATTAAAACTCCCCACCCAGAAAAATAACTCAGCACTTTTCAAGATCAAAGGCCAAGCACTCCTCATTTTTCTCCAGAATATTTTACATCCTTCATTTTTGTCCTGAGATTCAGCTAAACAGGACCAGCACATGTCAAAGATCAGTTATTCCAGAATATAAGCCAATCAAATGATTTTGCCCTTAAAATCACGAAGTGCAATTATGTTAAAATAGTTTCTCAAAGAAACAGACTTATAAGCTACATAATATGTAAAAATCTCTAATTAAACATCCTTAGATCTATCCCAGGGAGCAAACTAAACAATAAAAAAATCCACATCCTACTCAAAGTTTCAAGATAACTGACATGTCACATGCTCGCTCCCCATTCACTGTGCAATTTCTGAGGTGTCACCTTCTCACAGCAACAGTACAATTCCACACCGAGACGGAACTAGCAGGATTACACAATCCGTGTTGATCGAAGGCAGCAGGACACCATGCAGCCAACCCCAGATCTACTGGGTCATCCCAATGCTGCAAACTGCTCTTCAACAGAAGACTGAAGTGGGCTGTTCCTTCTTTCAAGGAGCTTTGAAACAATGTCTTGAGTGGCCCAACTTCTACACTCAGCACACAAGAAGCAAAGGACTGAGTGCAGAGAATCAGGCAACGCAAATACACTCCTCTTCTCCAAAAGGGGCAGGAAGGAAGGAGCAATTTCAACCAGTTCCCGTTTCTCAGACCGCCTCAAAACAACAAAACCACAGCTGTAAATGTGTGAAAACGGAATCGTACGTACGATTACAACGCAGCACCAGACAGATATGCTTCAAATAGAAACACTGAAACCCTTCACAGGGGGTTGAGTGACACACAAGAACTTCGACACAAGGTGTGCACACTCTATGCAGTGGCAGACAGGCAACTTGTCCAGCTTAGCACCAGGTACAGCATCTTTTGAGATGGCTGAGTAGGACAGCGATGTTCATGGAAACACGAACAGCACTGTTTTAAATGGACATGGAACGGTTAAAACATCCTGCTGCCTGGATGAAGGGGAAAATTGAGGAAATATGTTGCTATTCATTATCTGTGAGACGCCGACATCCAAAAGGTCACTGCTGCACGGGAATTTGCAGACCTGTGCAGTATGCACATGAGAAACACCAAGCGCAGAACAGGAGTAACTCCAGCAGAACTGAGCAGCATGTAGTCATCCCGTATTTCAACAGAAGTTGGCAGTAAATGTTTCGTCTCTGTGCCGTAATGAACAGGCGCTTCTCAAAATACTTAATGACTTCAGATCTCAGCTCCCATTTAAGAACTACTTCCCATAATATTCTCAGAGAAAACTATAAATTGTTCAGTAGAAACAGCAGTCTCATTTTCTGATTTGAGTAGAAGGAAAGAACTGCTACATTAGTACTATTTCTTAATTTTTTTTGAATGGAAGTGTCAAAAAAGAGAGAATCTTATTTTTCCTTTAAAGGCCACAAAGAATTTTGGTTTGTTAGGAGTACCAGTACTCTGTGATCCAGATTAATTCTTTATCCTGTTACTTACATGTTTTGCTGCTCTAATATTAGCTATTTCTCTGTATTAAAGATTGCCAGTGGAATAAATACTAGAGAATAAAGAGCTACCATTGAAATAAAGAGAAACAGGAAAAAAAATTACTCTTGGCTGGTCCAGGCTGAAAAAGTAGTTAAAGGGCTCAGAGTTAATTCCTACGTGTAAGTAGTACGTGCAGTAGTAACACGGGTAACATAGGAACACAGCAGTCTCAGGACAAAGCAATATTACGCAAAAACATCCAATCCAGTCATTTTCTAGTGCTCAAGTGTGTGGACTTACTGCAGTAAGACAGAAATCTGTGGACATAGTGCAAGTCAGGCACCAGTTAAAAATCATCCACCTCTTAAATCCTTCCTAGTACTTATTCAGCAGGTAGAGAATTGATTACTTCTCTAAGAGGCAATAATTTCACAGATGCTGGATCTGAACAAAAAAACCTCTTCCTAAGCATCTTTCCTGCAGTTTCTCAACAAACTGCTCAAAAGCCAGTTGCCTGAACCAAAATAAAAAAGCTGGAAGAAATACAGAATAAAGTTTTACTGTGTCTGTGCCAAAATTGAGCCCTGGAAAGGGTACTTCTCCTCTAACTTAAACAGAGTGTGCCTAATCGTCACTGGCACCAATTTGGCTTTAAATTCATCTGCTTATCTATCTAATCGATCCAAGAAATCTCCACACCTCTGAACACACTTCAATATCAAATCGCAAAACATGCCAATTTTTTCTACATGGATCTGCGTGAAGCACCAAGCCATGCAAACTCGGTTTCTGCTAACGGGGTGACCTCACATCCTTCTGAAATCCTTACGCATAACAAGACTTCAAGAACCGAGAGTAAGAAATACAGGTATTTACAACAATTGTAAATCATGTGCACCAGAGAAGCTTGCTGAGAACACCTGTATCAACACTTTGAGTAGCCTTTTACAGCTGTTAGCTCCGAAAGATACAAGACTCCAATAGGTTTACTAAGAGTAAACTTCCCTCCTCTAACCCTACCAACAGCTATGTAAGCCCAAGAACACACCATTGGCCAGCACTATTTTCTGAAACTGTTCAATGACAGTGAGGAAGGAAAGCAAATATAGAAAACCTCCCCAGATGGCTTCAGCAATTGGTAGAATCAACGAGAAGCACTAAATTGAAAATACCCAACGAAATCAGAATGACTTCTTACAACAAAAATAAACACAGATGAATTAATCTTTCCTAAGCCAAGTTAAATCCTTAACATCACTTGAATCCATGCTTATTTCAATATTTTCATTTACTCTGCAAAGAGCTAATATTTTTTTAAAAATTCTTCTTGTTGTTGTTTGTTGTGTTCTTTTTTTTTTTTAAGTCTTTTCTCGCTTTTGGCCTCAGATTATCAGTTAGAACAGACAGTACTAGGTCGCTTGACGATATGTCTGTCTTTGCAAAGTTTTAATAAAATGTACAACCTGATCTTTCAAGGAAAGATGGGTTATCAACATTTGGAGAATGGGATTCTTTTAACATCATGTGTCCAACAGATATGCAACCAGCTTCCCTTTATAACTGTAGGAGAAAGTGATGTATTTCAAGGACTAATTCTATCCACAGATGCTGAACATAAGCTGGATAAATTGTCTTTCCAAGATTCTTAGCTCTCTGAGCTAACGACAGAGCCTTAATGGCTAAAATTAGTAGATATTAGTGGCTTCCTCTCTGCATCTTCCATTACAGTTAAAATTACAAGCTATAGAATATTTCTTCTGGGTGAATGGAAGCCACATGTGCAAAGTAAAAGGAAGGATCACGAAGTGATCATGCATGCTTTGGTATGACACACACCTACGTATATGTTCCATTCCATTAAGTATATATGTATAGTATGTCATTTTTGAGATAACCAGAGACGGTATTTTCTCTGGGATGAGTTGTTTTCCTAGAAATAGCTAATTAAAATAAAATTCCTGATTGATAAATTTAAGTAACTTTATAACCTCACCACACAGAGTGTGTGCATAAAGCAGGACACAGGCTCTTGAGCTAACACCAACAGAACAGGTATGTCCACCTAGAACGGAGCAGCACCACCTCAAGTTCCCAAAATCCATCTCTTCGATAAACTTTATTAAATCATGTGGCAGGTACTAAACAGTTCCAGTGCTGGTACAGACACAACTAGTAAAAGTGTCTCTGCTTGTGCTTCTTCCTCCTCTCTCATTGGAGAGGATTAGATTAGAAATTAATTATTTATTTTTAAAGTTCAGCAAAATTATGTTTTAACTGAATGTCAATCTAGGCTCCTGAGTGCCTAAGGCAGCCTTGAAATAACACGTTATCATTCTCAAAATTTTATAGTAAAACTTTACAAAAATATTCTTTATAGTACTAAATGCAAATTCGTGTACGAAAATTGTCCACTAGCAAAAGTTAGAGCGTACATATTTATCAAATAGTTTTCCATTCATAGTATTTCTTTGCCTTTTCTAGTTAAGATAGTAACGATTTTAAGTAATAAAACCTCATGTGCCTTTCCTTTAAAATATATATTTTTAAAAACCTTACCAGAATTGCCAAACTTACAGATGCAAGTTCTAGAAACTGATCTTAAGTACCTCACCCATAGGAAAGGAGAGAATAAACCCCACAATTCTGGACCAGTAAACGATCACAATTTCTAAAGCAGGACATTATAGTCCAATGAGACTCAACTGCTCAATTATGGAATCGTTTTAGTGTCATCTCATAAAAATCACCTCTTATTGCTAAGCTGCAATAAACTGAATGTGCTTGTTCCTCAGCACTGAAAAAACACCACCTGAAACTTATTTATATCAGCGTACGAAGTGATTTCAGGGTCACCTGAGTGTCTGGCACCCTCCAGGCTCCTAAGCTGTTGCTCTTGTTAATCGGTCAGTATGACTGATGAGTTTTCGGGATTTTCAGTCTGTACGGATCTGTGCATCTCTCCCAGGAGATAAAGCATAAGCCAAGAGCACGAAAACATTTTTAAGAAGGCAAATATAGGACTATTAGGACATGGAGGGAACAGATGCACAGAAGCAAAGCATTTTTTAATCTTGGCCTTGAACCAAAAGCTTTGCACTGTGGAATACAGACCAAAATGGAAATTCCATCTGCTTGTTTGTTCCACGCTTAGTTGACACGGAAATGCCCCGCATGATTTAAAGTATTAAACAAAGCTGAGAACATGAATAAAATTTATATGGCTTTTTGTTTGCCACTTATCATTACAGATTGTTCTAATTAATTATTTGTGTAACTACAAAGTCTGAATCTCCAATTTAACATTTACTGTGAAAGGCACTGTGCAAACACAGAAAAAGGTAAGTCCATGCCCAAAGAGCTTGCGGAGAACGGAAAAGGCAGCTAGGAAACAAACTGACAGATACTCACTGCCCAAGCACACACAGCAAGCAGTGGCAGGAAATTTAGATTACACTCCCAAACGTCCTATCTCACCATCCTTATTTCTATTCCATCAACCAAAAATATTTTATACTTAGGATTTAAAAATCCTTTTCTGTAGAATTACTGTATAAAATGTTTTAGGAATGCCAGTTCTTCCCAGTGGTTATTTTTCTCACAATAGATATTAGAAAAGTTAGAATTTCCCAAGAAAACTGATAATACACGAGTAACTATTCACTGCTACTTCTGCCAGACATTCTATATTAAAAATTGGAAGTTTTGGCTGATCAATACCTATGTCACAAGGAAGGGGTACCATGAAGAATTTCGATTAGAAAGGACCCTCAGAGGTCATTTAATTCTACCTCCTACTTAACCAAGGGCTGTCTTCAACGTCGTGTCTTGTTCAGAACTTTTTCAGTAAAATCCGGAAAATTTTAAGAAAGATCCTGTAACCTCTCTGGGCCCCCGATACAGCACCTTATTGCTGTCATTGTGACGCAAGTTTTACTTAAGTCCAACTTTGGAGAGCCTACACTCACTTGCACAAGAGCTCTCCCTTTTGTTCATAATATTTTCACTTTTACTTTCTGTAAGCAGAAAAGCCCACACAACAAATGTTCACCAGAAGTGAACTGATCACACGACATTTTAATGAATTATCACACAGAGTATTTTTCATTACCTTTTTGAATTCTCCTGTCCTTTGATATTCACACACCATCATGTCAAAGAAAATGGGGATTGTGGCTTTTCGTAGCTCAACTTCTGGAATAAGTGTCATTTCCAAGATGGGTCCAACCATCCCCGGAATAAAGCAGATTTTATTCTGACCTGAAACACAAATGTAAATTGAGCATTTGAGAGGAGAGAATTTTTTTTTTTTTAAAACCATCTATGTTGATGAAGTCTTACAACTTATTCACTTATCTCCATGTCTTCTCAAAAACTGAAAGCATGTTAGTGGATACAGTCTCAGAATTCCAAGATGTCAGAATTCAGCGCCAGAAATAAGCATGAATGTCAGCTACGTTTTCAGTGAACATTTCAGTTTTTCAGCTTTTGACATCTCCTTTTAAATACCTGGAGTAATTAACCTAAGAATCCCCCAAATTCTATCAGTAGGAGTGCACCACACGGTAATATCACATGGAGTAACTTTTCTAGCTTATGAAGGAGAAAAACATGACTTGCTTTCATTTCGGAATAACATCAAACACTGCAACCAATAAATCAAACAAACCCATGCACCAAGCATTGCAAGCAATCACAGAAACACTATCTACACAGCTCCTAAAACCAAAATTATCTTGTAGCACAACTGTTACATCGGCTGTCAATGAACATGGAAATCTGTAAAAAACTCGACCAGATACGACGTGTTCTTCAAAGGCTGCTTTTCTTTTGGGGAAGAAAAACATGTGATATGTGCAGCAGACCACAATCAAAATTGAATGACCTGCATAAGAATGGTAACACTGCCTAAAGCTTGTAAGGAGATAAAATATTCTTGTCAACAAATACAACTAGACTTGTTCCGTAACTAAAAGGTAATCTGACTCTGATTTTCCTCGCATATGGGTGCCATACTAACGTAAGCCTAAGCATAACTGAACTATGACTTCAACAGTTCTATGCAACGTTATTTTTCTTCCATTCATGTTGATTAAAACCATTATTAATAATAGTTAAATCAGTAATGTCAATAAGAGTGAAGAGAATCTTATGATAACTGAATAACTTCCAATACCTATACGTATTAGACCTTACAGGTACGTATTTTTTGAAATTCATGTAGCTGTCCATTCACCTCTAAAAATCTTCACTCTCTCAAGCAATCCTCTTACATGAGTAGAAAAAAGAGAAAGTTTCAACTAAATTATAGCAATACCCATGGCTTGACCAAGAGGCTAATTTTATGCTTTAAACCACAGAGCTTAGCACACCACTTTAAATATATAAAGAAAATTTAAAAAATAATAATTTTGAAGACTATCTTGCCATCAGCAACTCTTATTTCTATTTCAGGAATGAAGAGTAACATCTCCCCAAACCTCACAGCGACTGAATGACTGAAAGGCACAAAGGAACACAGAACAAGGCAATTCAATTCACAACTGGAAAGGCACTCTAGAGGTCGCAGCATGAGATTTTTTGACATGCATTTGCCTATTTCAATCTTGCTCTATATGTACCTCTCAAACACGGTTTATACTTAAGATGCTCTACTGCTTTTCAGAGTTCAGATTTTTGTTAAAGCTACAGAAGAAGCCTGAGAACTACAGAAAATAAGTGCCAGGGGTATTTATTATTAACTACGAATGACTGCATATTAGTTTGAAACAATTCTCAAGCTGTGTGCCTCACTTTTTCCATTGGGTATGTAAGTTAATATTATTTAAATAATTTAATAATGCATTTGGATATTAGAAAAAAATCCTTTGGTCTTCAACATTACTCTAGACAAAACTGTTAAAGGCCCTTAAATTTTTCTAAAGCCGTTGTGTTTGCTGTTTTTAGCACGGACTCTCAGATTCAGCATGAGTAGGATGTAAACAGCAAATCTCAAACACACACAAGAGGAAGAGTGCTTCGGCAAGATCTGTTGTACTTTGGAGTAAAATGAAAAATTCAAAGTTTATTTCCAGAAACAGATGTTAATGACTCTAGAATCAAGAATTCACGTGAAAACGACTGATTTTAAACTTGCGCCTACCAGTATTAAAAATGATGACAATGGTGTTAAACTAGAAAATTAATGGCTATGCTGAAAACAGGTTTGAGAGTTCACCAATCCATCAGGAAAAGTATCGAATCCTTTAAAATCTGATGTATCAAAAATAGGTAGTCAAGGTATACCAATGCATTAAAAATTTTTTTTCTACTAAAAAGTACCAAAAGAAAAAATTTAAGAAAGATTGAGAGGGGTATATATCGCCAGAAGTAGTATGTGCAAGGTGATGAAAACATTCAAAATCTCCAGGCAAGCATGGATACACTGGAATTTATAACAGAGATCATAAAGAAATCTCATATGTCCTAACAGAAGAACTTGGCAAAACTTTTCAAAGATAAAACAAATATTTGACATAAGTTTGGTTAATAAGAAACAATCCCTTCATTGCATTTTGAAAATCACAGCTGGCTTCCTTGGGTAATAATATAGGATATTCTGGCCTCTCCATAGCTTATTTTACCTTGCAACATTGCTGCGTCAGAGGTTCGAACACACTGCAAAACTTACTTGACCAACTCAGGGTGAGAGGAGAGGTAACTGGTAGAACATGAACACACTAAAAGCAGAAACATGGAATGACCTTTGCCTCTACAGCAGGCTGTGCCAGCCCACCGCGGGAAGAAGATGTCCCCACTTGAGATAAGGTTTCTTTGCAATAGATGTGGTATATCAGGGAGACAGAGATGAGTGCTGCCTACAGTGTACCTGGGACTGAAGCAGTAGGCTATATGGACGAGCAAAGCGTACAGTGCACTATGCACATCAATTCTGCGCGTTGATTTCTGTGTGGAATGAGCACACGGCTTATTCCATGCTAAAAGCTGAAGAGCTCACACTGACACTATCTCACTGGACTTTCCATTCTGATATAAACTTCTGAATAATTTTTTACTCTTTAATCTAATAGGGTCTTCAAAGGACTTTTTCCTCAATATATCTTGACAATGCCTTGCTGGAGTTTTTGTGTAAGTAATAAAACATTCATTGGAAGAGAAGAAGAAGATGGATCTCTCCTTCCACACCTCAAAGAAGCTAAGGCTTGAGTTCCTCTTCAAAATCAATCACAAAAAAAAAAAATCTTCAGTATCCTACGAAACAACACATTAGGTTATTGTCGATTTGGTGCAAATCAAACTAGAGATTTCATCAGCCCACAGAAAGAATACAACATCCTTCTGTCAACAGAAACCTTCCTGCAAAGTCTAACTGAAAGAAAAAACTTTTTAAAAATTTGCCTAAAAATTTAAATCAAAAATTGCTCAACCAACTCACAGAATAAACAGAACGTAAAAATTTGGTTCATCCATAAAGTTACTTTGCCTAGTAGGTCCTTGAGATCAACAAATTGAGTACTTAAGCAACTCTTAACGTTCTTCATGTTCTGCTTACAACTACTTGGTATTTAGTTTAGAATAAATTCTGCCTTTCCATTCACTCCCAGCCAATCACTTGACATCTTGCCTTGTATTCATGAAGGTGACCCTTTTATGCAAGTTTTATTCAAGTATCTTCAGATTTTGGATAGTGTGGGTATACTTTAGCTAAAATTTTAATAACACGGAAAAAATATTTATACTATTGGAAAAAATGCTCTTTTAGTGCAGGCACTGAGAATATTCCAGACCACTCTTAAAACATAAACTTGTGATACAGAGAGATTGCACAAGTTTTCCTGGATGAAACGACTGCATTTTAGCTAAGTTAGGAAAAAAGGAAGAATGCTGTTAGCTTATCCTCAGCACTCCACTGAAGTGGCACACAGGAACAAAAGACTGGAACTGGCCTGAGGTCAAGAGATCTCAGACAGAATGGTTACAAAAGCCTTTTTCTCTGTCTTCTCTTTAGTTAATAAACTGAGGAAACCTAGTCTTTCCATGATTAACTGCCTGAAATTTGACATTCAGCTTGCATTTCAAAATATAATTGTAAGTATCATCATAATTGTTTTCATTGTATATTTCAACAACCCTCGATAATACATACTTTCAAAGAACAATACATTATTGTTGTCCCTATTATGAACTCCCAAAAGAACAGTGGCAGAACATGGCTGTACAACAAATGTAAAAATATTTTAGAATTTTAACCCATACAGATTCCAAAGCTGAAGCTACTAATTTCTGTAGATTCAGATTGAACAGTAAGCTTCTCTGGGAAGATTTATCTGGTTCTCAATTTCAGCAAAACAAGGTTTCTGAAATCTGATTTCAGTCATCTTTGAAATGTGAGAGAAGGTTGTGAGAGCTCTTAGAAATAAAAAATAGGCAGTAGCCAAACAGCATATCTCAGATCAGTTCCAAGATGAATCACAGGCATGAAAACATATTTTATGTTCTAACAGTAGAATACTTACAGAAGTACATCATGTCAGACATTTTTCAAAGGAACAAGCAATATGCGATGGATTCAGTTGCACTTAAGTTCACCTGCCTACTCACCAAGTTTGTACCACATGTCACGGATAGCAAAACCTATTAAACGTCTCATATCTCCATATCTAGAAAGAAAAGAAATATGAAAGGTATTTTTATCATTATATCTTTATCATCATTTTACTACAAAATTAAAGACATAAGCTGAAGTATACATTTTTGCTTACTTGTTCTGGATTTTGTTGTATTTTGCATGGGAAAAGTTTTCTAGCTGTAGTGAATCTTGGGTAATAAAAGCCACAGCCAAATGAAAATAGTTGTTCCACAGCTGTAAATTGAATATAAGGAAAGTATAATAGTATTGAGACAAGCAGGAATAATATTAAACTACGCATAATGCTGAATAATTTATGAAACCAAATGATGCAAGCAAGATGAGATTTTTATATTATGCAAAGAGGTACATCATTAGTATTATGCAATTAGCTGAAAAGCAAGATAGATGAATTTTAATAACCACTACTACGCATTTGCTCTTAACACAGCAGCTGAATAAACATTGCTAAAAAAGATTCATATGAGATTCATTAGCTAACAACATTACACTGTGAACCATAGCAGGACCAGTGAAACACAGTACATGCCAGTGAATCTTAACAACTCGGAGCTAAAGGCATCCACTGTAATTACACTGTATTTGAGAGCTACTTCAAAAGGCATCTACCAGCTTCTCTTTTGATTCTAATTCAACAATGATTTGTGCAAAATTCCAACATATTCTGTTAAGAGCTCTCTACAGGAAATAAGGACAAAATACATCCCTCAATAACTATTATTAGCACTGAGTCATGTACTTGAACTAGAAGAAAACCCCTTGCATTTCCAGTACACAGTCCTTCATTTCTCAAAGCAAATTACTTGTTCTCCAATCAAAATGAAATACTGCTCTCACATGCTAGGGATGGAAAGGGAAAAAAGAAACTTCACCAAGAAACTCAAATTCAAGGAAGTAAATATTATTTTCAGAAGCTTCTAAGCCATCAGCAATGGCTTTAGACAATTTTTTTAAAATGTAGCTGCATTAAAAATGTGTGGTAGGTATCAGTGAGACAGTAGAAAGATAATTTAAAGGATGGAAACAAAGAGGAAGTCGGGCAAAAACCTCAGGAGGCCTGCATGGATGAACAAATATATTATTTAAAAAAAATATATATATATTTGCTTGGGAAGGGGGCAGGATATTAACACGTTTTCATTAATCTCCACAGACGAAAGATAGCACACACAGCAGAATCATGCAGTCTTAAAATATTGAACCAACATTCATGAAAATTATTCTGCACTGTCTTTTAGAACATCACACTAGAAAAATGCAAATCGCTAAACTGAGACAAGCAGAAGGTGAAAGCTAGAATTCAGAATAACTCACCAACTGATAAACAATAAAAATTAAGTAAAGTAAGCATTGCATTCTGTTTAGGTAGAGTCTTAAAAATAATTTTCAGAGTCACAGCTCATTCATAAGTTCTGGAGGTTGCAAGCACAATATTTAAGGCTTATTCCTATGGCATGCAGACTGGTTCACAACAGCTGCAGTGTCTTCTCTGAGGTGGAAGAGAGCATTAAGTATCTCAAAGTAAAAAAATTATGAAAACCCTTTGGGACCTCTGCCAAAATTTCTTTGCATTGGTTATATACTTCAAAAGGACTGAACAAGGATAAACATTTTTCAGGTTAATGAATATAAGTTTATAGAAGCTTTGAAGAAACACAGCACATCATATAAATGAACAAAAGTTTGTTTCATTCATTTTTAGTCTGTAAAGATTTACATAGAATAATCCCATTCTCTCCTTTTTTTTTTTTTGTTTGCTTTCTGTTTAATCATGCAACTTAAGTGAAACAGTCACAAATAGTTTCTACTCCAAACATTACCATTCCTATGTCGGAAAACGTACCACACCTCTGAAATAAGGCAAATCCAGTAAAAATGAGATTTATGTATGCAAAATTTTACAGAATTTATATCCTGTGTTTTTCTTTCCATTCTGGGCAATGAGTCCAAAGTCCAAAGAAATTTGCAGATGAACATAAAAAAAACCCAAAACCAATTACTTACCATAGGTCACTCTAGGAAGGCTAGCTATTTGTTGGTAGAAGTATCAAAGATGAATTTTAAACTCTGAAGTTTGGTATTTTTCAAACGCACAATGCGGTATGTAATACATAAAGACACAACATTTCTAATACTGCTACTATTGTTACTGCTGCTAGCGAAATTTTCTAACAGTTGCATTATCCATTAACTTCTGCATCGGCCATGTCCTAGGGTTTTCTACAATGTCTATCACCATCATACAGATATTTTTGTACAATATAGCATGTATTTTTCCCCTGTATATTTGTAATGCAGTGACAGTTTTGATTTTCGGGTTTCTAATTGAAGATTTAAGATAAAAAAATAAGTTGTGCAGTTCTGTTTGTGATGCTAAAACACATTTTGTTACTGCTGAGTTATTAATGGTGCCCAGTGCGTGCAAGAAAGATAGGAAAAAGTGAAAAATAAGAATTTTCTTTTAAATCAGACTGACATTATAATGGAACATGGACTATGCCTTTTATAATAGAATTCTGTGGCAGGAATATAGATAATTAATAGGAAACTCTAATTGCTGTAACAGTACAGATTTAGAAATATAATCCTTTCTAATGCCCTGTAAAAATACTTCTAACAGAGGGGAAGGGTAGAAAGGAACAGCAATCAGTAGCACTGTATTTTCCAAAATAGAAACTCTATGATAGCCATGCCTGACCGCAACAAAATGGTTTCTGTTTGTTCACTCTTCCCTGTCCCTAATGTGTCAGAAGCTGCCATCTCCAATCAGAAACATTATAAAAGGAATGTTGCCAAAAAAAAAAGTAATTTCAATGAATTAAGTGGCAGTAAGGGTGACAATGGATGCTGACTGCACTACAGCGCTGATGTGCTCAGTCACTGAATGGAAATACTACACAGAGCTGACTTCTAAAGCCAAAGTTGATGGAGCCATGAGCTGACAGTGACAACAAAGTGGAAATACTCTGTGCTGCTGGACAAAGGTAGCACCTAGCTACTGACATCAGCTACTAACAGGAACAACAACAACAAAAATCATACGAGGTCTGAATAGGTTCTACAAAGATAATGGTTCACACTGGAAAATTTAACCGGAATTTTGAAGTGAACCATTAAACGCTGTTATCTTCATTCTTCTGCTGATGGAAGACTGGTTTATATTTCATTCCAACTAAATAAGAGGAAAAAACCCAGGACTTGCAAGTTGAAAAAGGAATTTCTACTGGTGAATAAAGAAAGAGAAATAAAACCTTCTTTCTTAGTTCTGCATTCATAAAAATAAGGAAACTGCTGACAGTTAAGACATGTATGGTAAATAGAAAGGTCATTTAATTATTGTATTTCTATATAACAAAGAAAATGTTAATTGGTATTTGAACTTTTTGCTTTCATACCTATATCTCTATATTCATATGCACAGATAACATTCAGCTTCAAAACTGAACTACTGTCAAATACCTGCTTCCTTAAAAATCCTTGTCCATCAAATAAATGGCAAATCAACTAGCTGGCTGTTTTCCAGTCTAAAATAGGAACAGGTGTACAAAGGCACTTTTTCTCTGGGTAAAGGTATTCAGACTGCTTACAGAAAGCCACGTTACCCCCTGATTATTCACCCTTACTTAACACTCTGGGGCTACCCTTGAGGTATGCATGTAGCATTTTGTTTCGAAATACCGAAGTTTTCAGTCAGACTAAATTAGCTTTTTTTGATTGAATTAGATGGTACAATTACCACAGAAGGTAAGAGAGCAGTGTACTGAAAAGTCCCAGAATTGTCCTATTTAGCACAAATGAGACACACTTCTCACACATTTATTGAGGATACCATGAATGTATATATTGCATAAGTACAGACCACGCCAAATTTTTGTTATCATTAAATCCAAGAAAACACGGTGACTTTCAGGGAACATTTTTTCCAAAATATATTCTACAATTTTAAATATTTTTGTTTGTTTGTTAAGTCTCTTCTGAAGAGCCCATCTCAACTTATACATCCTAAATCCAGAATTTACACATTGATCTGGACAGGTTGTCTGATCTCCACATTTGAAATTGGCAAATCCTTAAAAAATTGTTACAGCGAAAATGCCAACACCGCATTCTCCTTTAAAATTGTATGTTGGACGCATCTGCAATCACCTGCAATGGCTGTATTTCCAAAGCAAAATTGTCTTTAGTAGTGGAAGCTGGTAATGAAAAAGAGCCAGCCCTACCCTAGACCCCCCAACAGCCCCCACCCCTCCGCAAAGAACAACCAAACACCAAAGCCAAGCCACAAACATGGAGACAAATCCTCTTACAGCCACACAACAGGATCCTGACTCGTGCGCACCAGTACATGGCAAGTAGTGTGGATACTGGCTGGCTGATGAGACCCTTCTGCAATCAATTACGTGTATCCTCATGAATATTATTGAAAAGTAGTATAATATTGAGAGCAAACACAAAAAAATAAGAGGGAAAAGAGAAAATATAAGCTATTTACAATCACATAGATAAAACTTTTTATCAACACAAAACGCAACAGAGAAGTCAAAGGAAAAACTACACACCATTAAGACATAAATCGTTATGGTCTTCAGAAAAAAGTCTAACCTTAGACTGCTTTCCTAACTTATTTTTTGCATTTTTCTAGTATACCATCAATATATCTCCCTACACTATCTCAACAGAATAAAGATTCTTAAACTATTATACTTTCTCTAGGTGCAAACCTTTAATGACATGATTTACACTTCAGTGAACGAGTATTTCCTAGCCTTTCTAGATAATCTGTTTCAATACACAACTGAGTTTATATCTAACATAAATGCAAGTCAGTAATCTATTTCAAATACAGAGACAGGAATAGAATATA